TAGTAATGATAGTAATTTTAGCAATGTATCAATGACAGTTATCATTGTTATCGCATCTTTAATACGTAAATTCGGCAAATTCGCACACACAAAAAGGTGTTTTCAATAATTAAAAAATCATTTTTTTCAAAAATACATGGATAAAATGATTCTTATGCAGTAATGGTTACGAAGGAATATATTCAATAATAATAAAATACATGCGTTATTGTGTATAGCTTATTATATGTACGGGTGCAAATGTTTCTCGGGTACCAACAGTTCGAGATTAGTCGAGCCCGATAATAGCGGGAATATTAAGTATTGAAAATTCGAGCAGTATAACACTTAACAGTTCTTTAATTTTCTGTAATGTTTCAAAAATTTTAGTTGTTAATTTCCCACTGATATAGAGGTACCTATTCGACTTATCTCGAATTTTTTGTAACCGCACATTTCTAATGACATTCATATATTCATGACAAGATTCTTAAAACAAAAGAGTACAAATCTTTTACGTAAAATTATTTAATTAAAAGTCAACAAAAATTTAAATTTATTAAATAAATTTTATAATAAATGCATGTATTTTATTATAAAGAAGTATGAATTGCTATAACTAAATTAATTATAATATCCTACAGCATAGCCGGAATGTCCAGTACCTAAAAATACCTAAAAATGGTTTTTTGAAAAACAGATTAAAAGTTACAGAATTAAATATATACATTCGTAACCATATTTTTATTAAATTGTCAAAAACTAGGCAAATTAATTATATAAAGCTTGAATTCATTTACTAATAATTGAAATATATTACAAATCATTATATCCATATTTATTCTATGTTTTATTGTTAATATCATTGAAACAACACTGAATAATATATTAATGGGAAAACATTTAGTAAAAAATAATAGAAAATTTTATCTCAAAATATACAATTAATTGAAATTCACAACTCAAAAATATAGTAAATATAGTATTTAAAATATAGTATAGTGGTTATTGTTTTATTGTAAAAATTAAGATTTTCAAAAACTGCCAATAAAACGCAGAATTATTCCCGACCTTGTAATAAGAACCTTTAACTTTGAACGGGGCATCAAACTAGATATCGTGAATAGAGCTCATAAACATCGATAAGAATAACTCTCCATGATGGAAATCGTTTCGATTTTCCATTGATACGAACCATGCATTTGCTAGCGCCTGACGTGAGGAACAATGATGAGATCTCATCTCGCTTAAGTAACAATCGCACCCCCGAAGAATGAGAAATAGACGATAGCAATTGTCATTAATAAATGTTTAAATATTTTTTAACAACTATTTATAAATGTAATTTAGGAGTATCTCTAAATATACAATTTAAACATATTTGTTAAGGAATGTTTAACGCGTTGCAAAAATCAAGAAAACAACTTCACAAATATAACCGTCACAAATTTTGTAAGTTAATATTTGATCATTGGTTCAGCCAAAGCTTAAACGTTAAATCTTATACATTTATTTAATAAATTTCATAAATTGGAATATTATGAAAATAATTGATAACACTTTTAAACAATAAATTTTATATTTGAGATTTTACCCAAAATTATTAATGACCATTCGGTACTAAAATAAAAGTCGATGTTTAGAAATTAAAACTTTTAAAATTAAATATTTATAAAACACATTAATTTAATAAATTTCTTGTTATCATACGCATTTCATTGATTTCGTAAAATTTACATTATTTAACGATAATTTGACTTATTATGACCAAATAAATGCATCAAATAAATATTCGATATGTACACCAAAATATTCGAAATTATAGATAGATAATTCATTGATTACCGTACAAAAGTAATGATGACATTTATCTGGACATAATATTACACAAATTTTATACAATATATTTTATACAATATTTTATACAATATATCTAATCGTATATATAATTTCGTTTACAATACAATTAAATTACACTAATACGTTACATTTTTAACCATGTATAATTTTACGAAAGAATTAGTTTCTTGGGGGCTAAAAATTGAATAAAATTTAAAAGTAATTTTAAATCTTTCTTTTCAATCATCAAATATAAAGTTGTAATATATCCATCCCTAAAATAATTTTTAATGAACAAAATTAAACGATCTTTACTGTTGTTTATTTTCATGCCTACCCGTACTTTTATTCGTGCTTACTTATTTATGTATTTCTGTTTATATACCGTGTAATTTATTATATATGTTTATTATATGTTTAATTGTATTCAATTTTAAAAGAAAATCTTAATATCGCGGCTTTAAATATTATTTAATTTACAACATTTTAATTTCTATGACATTATATTACTTTTAGTAATATAATGTCATAGAATTAAAATTGTATATAGCACCTTTTCACACCCTTACATCTGATAAAAAATGTTTTACTCACCAACCCGAAGCGCAATGGGCGGAGTTATCTGCCACGAAGCTACGAAGATACTGTAACACACAAACATAACATTCAAATTAAAACAGCTCTCAAAATAATTTATCTTTTAAAAGGTAATGCTTTCGTACATCAAATTTTTTCTTCATTTTTCAAAAAGATATTTATTATATATAATATAATCATCTATTTTCCGAAAACATCTTTACAAAAATAATCTTTATAAAATTTTACATAAGTTTTTGTCTCTAATTATTAACTTATTGATATAAAAAATGTAACAAAAAAATGAAAAAACTAATAATTTTATATAGATAAAAATTATATTTACCCCAAAGTTGCTCCGCCAGAACCTGATGCCTCTCCTAGACCCCGTCCTCCTCTCAGGATTGGAATGTAAGGTCCTCTTCTTCCTCCCTCGCAGCTCTCGCGTAGGACACTCGCGAAAAACACTCCCGGGCAATTGCGCGCGGACTAATTATTATAACAAAAGTTTACGGCACTCCCGAAGTAAACGCGCGACGCGGTTTGTATTTTTAATTAATCGGCGACGAGTACGTTATCTTCCTCGTTGTTTTGATACACGTGGGGAATATCTGTAAAATATAGTTAAGATATTACTGAATAGGTCAGAAATTAATGAAAAGAGGATGTAACTAGAGTGATTAGAGATTACTGTGCAAAAAACTATAACGCGGCGGCGGCGTCGGCGCGGCGCAGCGACGCATCACATTATGATTTTCGGCCGAACGAATACTGCGAGATACGCGTTCGAACGAATATCAATGTATGCATGTGATTCTATTACATTGCGTGTTAGAAAAATACAAATACAAATTTCACTTACCATGCAATTATATCAGTCGCGATGTTCTTTGCTCCAGATCCGATCTGTTTCGCGTCCGTCGTGTTCTGAAAATACAAAGGGAACGCTATTAAAATGGCTAAGCGGCTTCGTCTCTCGCGCGGACAACTTCGCGCGCCAGTAGCGCCGCGGCGACGCGGCGGCAGCGTCGGCACGGCGGCGTCGGCGCGGCGGCGTCGGCGCGGCGCAGCGATGCTTCACATTTTGATTTTCGGCTGAACGAGTATCACGAAATACGCGTTCGAACGAAAAACCAATGCATACGCGCCTCTTATAACGATTATCGTTATGTGCAATAAGCGCGTGTATTAATTATATATTTAAAATGTGGAAAATGCATAAACGCGAAGATAAGAGTAGGACGCGTAGCGACGCCGCGGGCCGTCGTGACGCCGCCTTTTGCGTCGCTGCGCGTCCTACTCGATATTCGCGTGTACGCATTTTCCACATTTTAAATATATATAGAATAGATATATAAAATAGGCGTATCATAAATAAAAGATATCCGCGATTATATTTGTAATTCCTCAAATATAATCGTTGCTTTATTGCCGATTATTCGGCGGCGCGATATATCTCCGGCTGAATAAGTACAAACGTATTTTAATGATTCGTTTGATATTTCAGCATCGAATATATATCTTGCGATAGGTTTTTGTAAATGGAAAATGCAAAATTAATGAGTTTCTTTACCAATTAAATGAATTGCGACGACACTCGTTCCGGAGGCGACCTTTCTCGTGCCGGTGGCGCACCAAAAGAGACACGTAAAAAGTGTCGAGGCGCGCGACGACTGGCGACTGGTGACGAGGCGTCGGCGACAGTGGCGGTGACAGGGGCGCACGGCGACGAGTGACGGCCACTTTCTAACCTCCAATTTAGTTTCTGTGTAGCTTTGAGTGCAAATTGAATTTTTAAAATTATTTAATTCTTCAGACATCATATTTAATTAATGCAGTTTTTATGCGGATGTAAGTGTAAATTGTTTGAAAATATTTTTCCGAATTTTCATGTTCTTTTTCCTCAGTACGCAAAGAAATATTCTAACCTAAAAATGTTTTTGCATTTTGTTGCAGAGATTAATAAATTTGTATTTTGTTGCTATATATCATATCTTGTGATTCAACATGAGTGATGAGGAAGAGTTCCTACTTACAGAAGATAAAGATTGTGTAAGTTTTTTTTTCTTTATTTCAATTTCTTATGTTAATTTTATTCAGGATTATTATTACTGAGAAAATATCTGCGTGTGACAATATACTTTGAATTGTTTATGTTTTAGGAACAAAAACAAGGGAGGAATTGAAAAATATGAGTTTTGAGGATTTGCAGAAATTAAAGGAGAAATTAGAAACCAAGATGTACAACGAGACCATATTTCGAAAGAGAAGTAAGAAAAAGACAGAGAAAACAGAGTTTAAATGGGAAAACAAGAACAGGCCACAGGAGATTTCTGCTTAAAAAACCTAGGTATAAAGAGTCGATTCTAGTAAAAAAAATTGTATCTTCTAGAGATCCTAGATTTGATAGTCTATGCCAGTGCTCGGCATTATCTGTACATTTCGGGCCGATTCCCAAGGCGACCCTCGCACTACCACTCAAAATTTGGCGTGCGCCCGCCTGAGTGGCTCGGCCGCCGAGTCTTGAGCGGTAGTGGGGGGTCGCCTCAGGAATCGGCCCGAAATGTGCAGCTAATGCCGAGCACTGGACTCTGTGCGGTACATTTGATAAAAAGGCCTTCAGGCATTCTTATGCATTTGTTAATAAATTACAGGAAAATGATCTTAAAACTTTACAAAAAGAGTTAAAAGAGACAACAGATCCCAAAACTGTAAAGAAAATAAAATGATATCCAGAGACTTGAAAATCAATTAAGAGAGGAAAAGGAAACAAAGGAGCAAGAAGAAAAAAAATGGCAGGAAACAAAGGAGTTAGTGAAATTTGTTACGAGGAAAGAAGTCTACCTTCAAAAATAAATGTAAGTTGGTCTTATCATTAATATGGTTTTGATTTATGATTATATTTATTATATTATTTTATCTGCTTTTTGCAGCTGACATGAGAAGAAAATCTTGGATTTAGTCTCGCAATATGAAGAATTGAAGAATACAAGTAAATTAAACAATCATATTTAAAGACTGCAGAAGACAAACAAAAGATAACATAAAGGTAGGGCAAAATTAAGAGTGAACAGAATAGAGTGAAACATGTATATATGTACAATACATATGCAAACATTTACAAAACAAATGTTTATAATTGCGTGTGAATTTTTTAATTAAGTGAATTATCGATAAAGTATTATTAAAAACTTTATGAATAAATTTTTATAATCTCTATTAGATATAATTCTAGTAGAGATCCATAGAGTTAATTCTCATCTCACTGCACAAAGTCGAAACCTCTTTTATTTTAATAATGATTAACATTGATGAATTAATCGAATACTGAAGTAAGTCGCGGTATCATTGTTTGAAATTTTTCGCGAAATCATTTGAACGGCCATGTATGAAAGCGGGATTTTTAATTCGTTAATTAATAAAATTGTTAAACTGTATAGATTTTTGGCTCTTATTTAAATGCAGGTACGTTCCGGTCGTGCGGTCACGAGACCGAATATTCATAAATTAATAAAATCGTCAAATTTTTCGCTCATTTAATCAATCATTTAATCGTTTAATGAATCCACGTTTATGCATCGGTAATGACAGCATGTCAGTAATTAGATTTTTATGTTTGTTAACGTGCAATCCAATTAATTCATCTGGTTTGCAAGGCACCCGCGACAAAAATTGGTCGGCGACCAATCCCTTTCCGGTCAGTGTAATTTTTAAATTGAAAACGTGCAGTTTGTATAAAAATATTTCAAATTTAGTAAAGATTTTTATCATAATTATATTCGATTGAAACGAAACAGCTTAAAAAGTTAGAACTGTTTGTATATCTTTTGTGATGCCTAAGCAATGGCAATATATTTTAATATTCTCTGTAATGGTATATTTTTTTATATATGTTTTGCATAGAAACCACATTAAAATACATTTAATGGTTTTATATAGTTTTATATTTTTGTCTTCTTCAGGCTTAATTTATTTCAATTTTTAATTATTATTTTTATAAAATGTATAGTTACGCAATTATATTTTATAGATTTAGTGTGGAATAGAATCAAACAATATACGTAACATGGAATAAAATAAAAGACCGTAAATGTGTTACCCGCCGGAAATATTTATTGCTACGTAGTTCAACATGTATCTAGAGGCGTCAGTGAACGAGTTTTATTTAAAAATTATGAGCACGACCACTCTCAGCTTTCTTTGAATTGAAACCTATATATGGATGGACATCTAGATATTCTTTATCAGTACCTCTTCACTGCGCTATTAAAAAATAATATAATACAGACATGAATACATTTGAATTCAACATGATAAATAGCTCATTTTTGTATTTTGATTTATTTAAATCCAAAATAATATAATAGGGACATTAATGCATCTCTCTGGACTCTAAAGTGCCAACTCGGATAAATTAAAATAAATTGCAATTAGCATTTATATTAATTTTCGTTTGCTGGGTAGTTATCTCGGCTAGTTATCGTTATTGATACAACCGTGCTTATCTCATACGTTTATCATTATCGCGATTAAATATTGGAATTATCAATTTAGTGTTACAATCATTTACAATATTTAACTAGTTCAATGTAATTTCTAATATAATACACAATATTAAAAAAAACTGTGCTTAGCAATAATATTATACATAACGCAAAGAGCGTTATCTTTATGTGGCTGCTTTGTTTCTAGTTAATGACAATGGCCGAGGATACTTGTTATCTGTCAGATGATTTAGTTGAAGAGATAGACTCCTATGCACCAATAGTGCAAAGAATCATCGATGAGGTTATGAAAGGTTCTTTCAAAGGAACCACATGGCAAGATTTGGCAACGTTTGTCGATAAATTTGGCCCGAGATTTACCGGTACCCAAGCTCTTGAAGACTCTATTGATTATGTATTGAACAAGTCGATCAGTTTAGGTCTAGATAATGTTCATGGTGAAGCAGTCATCGTACCACATTGGGTCAGGTATTTCTATAAATTCTTATAAATGTACATTAAAATAATAAAGTAATTTAAAAAAAAAAAAGATAATACATGAATATTTAGAGGCTCAGAATCTGCGACTCTTTTGCAACCATATCTAAAAAATCTAGCGTTATTGGGACTGGGTTACAGTGTCGGTACTCCAGAAGAAGGCATAACTGCTGACGCTGTCGTAGTGAATAGCTTCGCAGAACTTAAGAAACGGGCGAAAGAGGTAAAAATTTAACAAATGGAAAAGCAAGTCGCAACATACATTTTTATCCGTAATTAATAAAATAACTTTTAAAAATGTATCAGATTCCCGGGAAAATCGTTGTATACAATCAAGAATTTATCTCGTACAACGAGACCGTGGAATATAGAAGCTCGGGAGCCACAAAAGCGGCCGAGTTGGGAGCTGTTGCCGCCTTGATCAGATCAGTAACGCCATATTCATTGTACACCCCGCACACGGGTATGATGAGTTACGCAGAGAACGTTACTAAAATTCCAGCTGCTTGTATAACTGTTGAAGATGCGATTTTTCTGGGGAGGATGGCGGACCGGGGTACGAATAAGAAACATTTCTTGAGATCTTCAATGAACTAATTATATTATATTTATCTAGGTGAAACAATAGTGATAAACTTGAAAATGGAAGCGAAGAGATACCCTGACACTGAGTCGCGAAACGTTATAGCGGATATCACCGGTTCTAGCGCGCCCGAAAAAATAGTTGTCGTTTCTGGACACATAGACAGTTGGGACATTGGAGAAGGCGCAATGGATGATGGAGGTGGCATTTTTATGTCATGGACCGCATTAAAATTGTTGAAGCATCTCGGCCTCCGGCCGCGAAGAACGATAAGGTGGTTGAAATATATAATTTAATCGATCTTGTTATAAGATTAATTATTTTTTATAAACGGTTATACAGCAAATTATATATTATATGTATTATGAATATTTATATTATATATAGAATGATAATGTGGACCGCCGAGGAACTAGGCCTTCTCGGAGCGCAACAATATATACAAAATCATGCTGCAGAGAATGAAAATATGCAATTCGTGATGGAATCTGATTTTGGCACTTTCACACCTACAGGTCTGGAGTTCACAGGAAACAAGACAGTCCAATGTATACTTCAGAGAATAATGCGGTTAGTTATTTAGTTTAGTTCAGTTTAGTTATTAGTTCCTTTGTAGATTACGTCGTTATAATATTTTTATCTTTGATTTTCGTTCGACTTATGTTTGCTGTTGTAATCCAGAAATTAATTTTTTATTTTCAATCTATTTATTTATATGTATTATGAAATATTTTTAAAGTTAAAAAAAGCGTTTACCATTTTTGTAACACATTATTTAAAATAAGACATATAAGACTCTCTCGTATCTCTAGATTGTTAGCTCCGTTGGGTGACATGCAGTTGAAGAGTCCATCCACAGCGCCTGATATATCGTTCTGGGTTAAAGCTGGCGTACCTGGTGCCGGTATTTTGAATCAAAACGAAAAATATTTCCATTACCACCATACGCACGCGGATACCATGTTGATAGAAGATCCGAAAGCTCTGGATATGAATACAGCCCTATTCGCAGCGGTAGCGTACGTTCTAGCGGATATAAGCGTTGATCTGCCTCGACACGACTTCATCAGCGTATCATGAAATCAGTTTGATATATGTACTTAACGATGGATATTATCTGCACGGTAAATCATTGAAATTATGTATTCATGGAGAGTGTTTTATTTCAAATGTGCCTGCATACACACCCATGGACAATGATTCGTCCCTCCCTAGATCGATTTAGGGAGGAACGAATCATTCTCCACGAGTGTACAATCACAGCGATGTAAACGATTAAGGACTACAACGCCTAGTCTAAACTCTTTAAAAACATCAAAATGCACGTGATCACTTGATTTGAAGTCATCTTTAGCGCATAATAAAGAAGAATTATGCGTTATATATTATGGTGCGCTAGCTTTGAAATTAAAGATCTCGCAGTCACTTCAGCACAATTGAATGAGACTTGCGTAGAAATTATCTTATTTTTTTTCTTTTAAAAGCCATTATAATCGGATCAAAATTATAAATTCTCGAACAAATTTTCCTTAAATCTGTAAACTACATAGCAACATTCACTTTTCTGTACCGCGGGTATACAATTTATGTTGAGTTAATCACAGTAGAGTTTAAATTTCATTTCTAAAATATATATATTGTATTGGATAATATCGTTGAGTGGCTGAAAATATAATGACCAGTAGCCTCGACACTATGTACTAAAATATGTAAGAATATTTGTATTAAACTGTATGCATATGTATGAGATGTGTATTTTCATAAAACGTATATTAAATCTTATTATTCTAATTATATCAAAGAGTATTTAAAATTACCTTCCTATATACCTAATTTTCAGTCAATCACAACGGCTTTCTCTGGTGTCGAATTTTTGGCCTTTTAAATACAATATTTCTGCTTTCTGAAACAAGAAAATGGTTAGTTGGAAAGTTAAGATACAGATGAATTGACTGGTCATTACATTTTCAGCCAACGATATTATCCGATACAATATATATATATATCCGATACAATATATATTTTAGAAATGAAATTTAAACTCTACTGTGATTAACTCAACATAAATTGTATACCCGCGGTACAGAAAAGTGAATGTTGCTATGTAGTTTACATCCTCTTCTTCAGAGGGCGTTAGTGCATTTTGAGGCAACAGGCGAAAGGCTATCACGTTCTCTCTCAGGTTTCTCTCTGATTAAAACCTATATATACATATATCTAGATATTCTTGATGTCTGCTCATCAGTATCATTTAATTGCGCGACGTGAGTCAACGTTCTTTATGTATTTTTGTTATAAGAGTGTAATTTCAATATACATATATTATATATATTGTGAACATATCTGGTAAGTACATTTTATTAGAATATTATTTATAATAAAATAATCAGAAGTAACAAACGTGTTAAAACTATAAATTATAATTATGTTAAATTAATATTTTTTTCTCCAATTTTTAATTTAATTTCAAAACAGATATTTCATTCCCCTTTTTATATAAAAAATATATATTATGTATTTTTGATAAAATAAAAATACGATTTAAAATATTTATAGACATTCCGGGAGTGCGCTGTCAATATTAAAGTTATCGCAGTGTTATTATTTCTATCGTTAAATAAACCGATAAACGTAAAAATAGAACGAAATAATACAATAGCGTTGATATCACATTCCTCTAAGCGTACCAGCCATACAGCCATAAGGTGCCCCACTTGATATGATTTTCAAATAAAATTAACTTTTGCTGATTAGAATCATGATGTAAAAAGATCAGGTGAAACAATTCTAAGAATGCACAGTCGTCATTTCATTTCAACTAATCAGAAATTTGTCCCGAATTTTGTTCAGCTGGCATGCGTAATGTTACACCTGGTATCGTAATTATAACATAATGTCTTTAATGTTTGATTATTGATGGGCATAAATTATTATTTTACAAAATTATAATTTATTATTCCATACAAAAATAATTTACTGTTTCGCGAAAGTTTTAATAACTTCTTAAAAATTGTAGGTTTACAATTTTCCAGCAAAATTAATTTAATTGAATTTCCCAACGAAAATTAATTTAATTGAATTGAAAATTACAATTGATTTTAATTTATCCGAGTTGGCGCTTTAAAGTCCGAAGACGCATTTATATTCCTATTATATTATTTTTTTGTTCAAATAAATTAAAATATGAAAGCTATTCATTATGTTGAATTCGGATGTATTCATGTCTGTATTATATTATTTTTGAATTTAAATAAATTGAAATATGAAAGGAGTTATTCATTATGTTTAATTCGGATGTAATTATTTTTGGATTAAAGTGGAGTCGAAAAAAGCGCCAATTCGGAAATATCGAAATGAATTCCTTTCTATATCTATTTTAATTATTCATTTTTGTTTGCTGGGTTACATTAAAAAAATAATCTCTGTCATCAACTCATTAACTTAAATTAAAATAATCTATAGGTTCAGAAAATTATAAATTAAATTGAATAAAGAAAAGTAAATGAGCCGACAATGGAGATTATTTTTTTATGTTAAAAATAGAAACATAAGTATAAAATCATAAATGAGCGAAATATCAAAATATTTTAGTCTACAATAAGGTCAATCTCAATGCGATGACATGAATAAATGAATTTGTCTTATAAATTAGTAATTTATATTGTCAATCAATAACTAATCGATGATAATACCTATATTCTATTCAGCAAAAATTAATTTCATATGCTGACAGTATACAAAACGGAGCGGATTACATAAAACATTTTAATTGTATTTTTATTTTGTACAAAAATATGATGTATAACGTATATTTAAAGTCTGTGATAAAAAATATTATTTAAGATATGTGAGAAATATAAGTAATTATATTTAATATTAATTCTGTACATTGTGAAAAAATATGACAAAATTATATAACAACTATATACAGCGTCGCGAATGAAAATATAAGTTATCACTAATTATTTACTCAAATACAGCACAATCAAGATTTTTTAATAAACAGTTATTGTTAAATTGGTTTGGTATACTATATATAATGATTTTCCTCTTGCATTTCTAATATTGATTTATTTAATCGGTTATCTCGTATTATTATTGATATTATGTTTATTGTTTATATGCGTTTATCATTATCGCCATGAAATATCATAATTGTCGATTCAGTGCTGTAATTGTTTGTAATATTTAACTTATTCAATGTACTTTCTACAATAATATATAATAATATACAATGCATTCATATCACAGGAAATTAAACCACGTTTAGCGACAATGTGGCATAACGCAAACAGCGTTATCTTCATGTGGCTACTATGCTTGCATTCAATGATAATGGCCGAGGATACTTGTTATCTGTCAGATGATTTAGTTGAAGAGATAGACTCCTATGCGCCAACAGTGCAAAGAATAATCGATGAAGCTATGCAAGGTTCTTTCAAAGGAACCACATGGCAAGATTTGGCGACGTTTGTCGACAAGTTTGGCTCGAGGTTTGCTGGTACCCAAGTTCTTGAAGACTCTATTGATTATATATTGAGCGAGTCGATCAGTTTAGGTCTAGATAATGTTCATGGTGAAGCAGCTACCGTACCACATTGGGTCAGGTACAATTCCTATATGAATGTACTCTAAATTTATTAAAAAATATGAACATTGAAATAATTAAATAATTTCCAAATAAACAAATATGATAATATATGAATACTTAGAGGTTCGGAATCCGCGACTCTTTTGCAACCGCGGCTGAAAAATCTGGCGTTATTGGGACTGGGTTATAGTGTCGGTACTCCAGAAGAAGGCATAACTGCTAATGCTGTCGTAGTGAATAGCTTCGCAGAACTTAAGAAACGGGCGGAAGAGGTAAAAATTTAACAAATAGAAGGGCGAGACGCAACATATACTTTTGTTCGTAATTAGTAAAGTAACTTTTAAAAATGTATCAGATTCCCGGGAAAATCGTTGTATACAATCAAAAGTTTGTCTCGTACGGCGAGACCGTGCAGTATCGAAGCTCGGGAGCCTCACGAGCGGCCGAATTGGGAGCTGTTGCCGCCTTGATCAGATCAGTAACGCCATATTCATTGTACACCCCGCACACGGGTATGATGAGTTACGCAGAGAACGTTACTAAAATTCCAGCTGCTTGTATAACTGTTGAAGACGCGACTTTCCTGGGAAGGATGGCGGACCGAGGTACAAATAAGAAACGTCTCTTGAGATCTTCATTGGACTAATTGTATTATATTTATCTAGGTGAAACAATAGTGATAAACTTGAAAATGGAAGCGAAGAGATACCCCGACACTCAGTCGCGAAATGTTATAGCGGACATCACCGGTTCTAGCGCGCCCGAAAAGGTAGTCGTCGTTTCTGGACACATTGACAGTTGGGACGTCGGACAAGGCGCATTGGATGATGGAGGAGGTATTTTCATATCCTGGACCGCATTAAAATTGTTGAAACATCTCGGCCTCCGGTCGCGAAGAACGATAAGGTGATCCGAAATATTTCAAAAAATATATATAATTTTACCGATTATTGGTATAAGATTAATTATTATTCTGTATAAACATTTCGTTATACAAAAATTATTTACGTTGATTTGGACCAATAAACGAGCAAAATTTTTAGACGTTGATATAATATGATTATCAATATTACATTAAATCGTAGCGAGACGTTCAACCTAACTTGGTTCTTTTTAGTCGTCTATTACAAATCAGAGCATTATAATAAATTAAAAGTTATGTTTATGTTTAAAAAATCGAAAATACTATAAGGTTGACATGTATAAATTTACATATATAATAAATGTTATAGCTTGTTAACATAATAAATATATACGTATAACGAAGATTACAATTAGAATCGGTGTATAGAAGTTCAAATTAAAATGTAATGTCGATGTATAACAAGTTAATTGATAAAAAAAAAAATAGAATCGTTTCTTATGCGTAAAAGTGTTTTATCTACATGTTCTATTTGTCCAAATAGTTTAAAAGAATAAGTTCGTTTTTTTACTTGAATTTATCAATCTATTATTAGTTATTAGTAATAGGTGTAATAAGACAGATCTGCTGGGACAGAGCACGCGATGCTTTACGAGTGTACGAACACTTGTGTTTGAAAATCATATATTGTAAAGCATTGTGTGCTTTGTTCCAGCTTGGTTTTATTGTACCCATTACTAATAATAGAAATAGACAATTAAATTTAAACAAAAAAAACAGACATACTCTTTTAAACAAATAGAACATTAAGATCATTTAGACAAATAGAACATTAAGATAAAATACTTGTATTTAAAAGTTTGTACATTGTAAAACATGCTACTCTGTCTCGACGGGTTTGGTCTTATTACATTTATTACCAATAACTAATAGGTAGACAAATTCAAACGGAAAAAAATGGATTTACTTTTTTAAACCATTTGGACAAATAAAACATCAAGACACTTTTCAAAACAAAACACTTTTGCGCGTAGGAAACAACAAATTTATTACTTTTTTATCAACTTTTTTATTGACTTATAATATTTCCGAGTTTTTAAACGTAAACGTGACTTTTATTTTATTATAATGTACTGATTTGTAAAACGACTGAAGAGGACTAAGTTAGGTTGAAACGTCTCGTCGCGATTTATTGTAATATTAATAATATTATATATTATACCAACATTTAAAAATTTTGCTCGTTTATTGTCCTAAATCAATACCTTTTTGAAAAATACGAGCGATAATATATATTAATTTTCATTTATATTATATATTATATTATATATAAATGTTTATATACAGAATGATAATGTGGACCGCTGAGGAACTTGGCCTTCTTGGAGCGCAACAGTACATACAAAATCATGCTGCAGAGAATGGAAATATGCAATTCGTAATGGAATCTGACTTTGGCACTTTCTCGCCCACAGGTCTTGAGTTCACAGCAAACAAGACAGTCGAATGTGTACTTCAGAGAATAATGCCGTTAGTTTCTTTATAGATTTTCATATAGTTTACTTTTTTATATCGTATCATATATTATTTTTATATTTTTATATTTTGTTTTTGTTTGACTTATATTTCTTGTTGCAAAAATTTATTTTCTATTTTCGAGCATTATTTACATTATGAAATTTTTTTAAAGTTAAAAAAACATTTTATCATTTTTACAACTCATTATTTAAAATAACACATAGGCTCTTTCGTATCTCCAGATTGTTAGCTCCGTTGGGTGACATGCAATTGAAGAGCCCATGCACACAGCCTGATATATCGTTTTGGATTAAAGCTGGCGTACCAGGTGCCGGTCTTTTGAATCGAAACGAAAAGTACTTCTATTACCACCATTCGAATGCGGATACCATGCTGGCAGAAAATCCGAAAGCTCTGGATATGAATACAGCTCTGTTCGCAGCGGTAGCGTATGTTCTAGCGGATCTCAGCGTTGATCTGCCTCGGCACAACTTCACTAGCGTGTCATGAAATCAATTTACATGTGTTGAAATCAGTTTGATGTAAGTAGCAACGGTAATCATCATGGTAAATCATTGAAATTGTGTATTCATATAGAGAGTGTTTTATTTCAAATATGCCTGTATATGCAATCACAGCATAAACGATTATAGGCCTACTACAACGCCTAGTCTAAACTCTTTAAAAGCATCAAAATTTACGTGATCAAAAACGAGCTATATTTTACGAATTATTTTCAATCTGATCTCTTCGCTTGCTTAACGATCTTAATGAAAGATTTTTCAAAGACTATTCAAAATATACTATATCGCGACTACCTCGCAGAAATCTTAAAATTAACAGAATGTGTGTGTTCCACAAAGTTTAATTATCGGGACATATGCCTCACGGTTTGCATTAAAATTGTATTAATATTAATTTTATGTCAATTAATAATAGGATACATTTGTTTCATTAATCGCGGAAAATTTCGGAGAAAGAGAAAAATAAATTCAACCTCTTCACATATTAATCTCGATATTCAAACTTCGTCTAAAATTACCAACGACCTTAAAATTCTTGCATCTATTGGTTATATTAAATTATCAGTCTCAATCAAGTATGAATTTTGTGATTTATATTAATGTATCTTCGTCCTGATTTGGAAAGAAAGAATGCATCAACAAGGAATGCTGAGAAGTCGTTCTCTGCTCGCTCGAAGTTAACAGAGCGGTTTTCTCGCCTCCGCTGCCATTAAACGAGCAATCCGGAGAGCTACCGTCGAAGGCTATGTAATTATTGGTGGTCGTACTGCTCGTGGATGGCATGTCATTCAGATCCGGCGACGCCAAGGGCGGTGCCTGGCCCGAGCGAGCATTGGCACCGTCCAGCGACACGATCTGCATACTGTACGATTCACGATAGCCGGAAGTGCTGGACGTGTCCTCATCCCAGGACACGTCCGACACCTGAGGATGCGCGTGGTGATGATAGTAGTGACAATGATGGTGCTGATGCGCCGCCCCGTGGAATTGCTGCTGGTCCGCAGGCACGCTGGAGTTCTTGTCCCCGTCCGACTTGCGAAGAGACAGACTTCGCTTGGAGCGAACGGACGAGGAGTTGGATGGGACGTTGGACGACGGCGGATCGGCTGCCGACGACGCCTGGCCCGTCGCTTTCGGCTGACTAGACGGCTGTTCCACGAGCGCTGCATCCGACTGCTCCTGCAGCTTTGTCTGCGTCGTCTGAAAGACAGTATATTCTATGTCCGCAAGATAGAGTTTAGCCTGTTACAGTCAATTAAATCAAAATTTAAAGTAACTGTATGATGACAATGAGAACTGTCGAGAAGCCGTATGAAAAACTAAGATTATTCTGTAAACGCTTATGTATAATGATCGGAAACTTGAGAGAGACCGGAAACACTGAAACACTGAAAAAAAAAGAACTTATGCAAATGTTATCACCTCAATGTGACTCTTTCGACTTTTTCTTAAGCGGAAGGTCTTCTTGCTTTGGCCCATAGAACGTTGTAAGCGAGGCCTGTCGGTACGTAATTCTCCGGAACTGTCTTCGGTCGGACTGCTTGGACTTAGCTGGCCCGTCATCGTCTCCCCTGGCGGGACAGTCGATCACACATGTCGCGTCTACCGTCTTATTTCACGAAATCTACTCTACAATCCATCTACTCATGCTCCTTTTTTCAAAGTGTATGATTCAAGATTGTTTTTCAAAGTGCGCAGGAAATATATATTTTATAATCGCGTCCCGTGCTTGACGGCACTATATATGTACATCTCCAGTGATCTAAGCTCTTTTTCACGATTTATAAATATATACTCTATTTTTTAATTTTTAAACATTCTTAAAGGTGCGACTCTCTCACTCGAGAGAGTGGAAATTGCATAGAAGATTACAGGGTGCGTTCTTTTTGGAAGAATCGAGTGACATTTAGATCGTTAATTCTGAAACAAAATATTTTGATACTTTGATATTTAGAGAGGATATGCCTGTATTTGAGAGATTGAAATGTTTCCATGCCAGTAAAAACACGGATGAGTATAAAAAATCAGATATTGATTAGAAATTATTACTGTATAGAGAAAGAGAGAGAGATAGATAGGGGGAGAGAGAGAGAGAGAGAGAGAACGTCTTATATAGAAAAATATTGACATGGTGATGGAAAGATTTTAGTATTATACGTGTCGAATATCATATGTAAGTTGTATGTTAAAAATTGGAGCATAGTTTCATAGAAATAATAGTTTCATAGAAAATGTTACAGTATCTATTATGTGCATGCAAGATTGTATTTGAACAAAATAGATTATTTTAATATCGCTTCGGAAGTGTTAACGAGAGAATATTGCACAATAGTAAAAATCAATTACAAAATTACATGTGCACATATATGTTACACATCCGCGTATTAAACATCAGGGGGGAAAATGTCAGAAGAATTACATAAGAAGGTTTTCGCATATTGACAGAATTAATTAAATGTAGAAAAAAAAATACGTAGAACAAAATGCTCGTTACATTTAATGCGCGTAAGATTTGAATATTTCTATATTCTTAAATCATTTCAGAAATATAACTTTTATTGTTTGAAAAAAATGTTAATGTAGATAAGTGTGTTGTATCGATTATTAATGAATGAAACGTAGTGCTAAAAAATCCATAACACTAGCTCTTTCAAGAAACTAATTAAATTGAAGCGCAACTAATAAAATTTAATTTAAAAAATTTATCAAATTTATGTTATGGTTTTTACTTCATGCAATAACTTAACTAAATTTGCGGAATCTAAACTACGAATTCATCTCTATTTAATTTCTAAGTAATTTCACATGTCTAAGAAAATTGTTGATTGTTGTGTAATATACTAATATACAAAATAAATAACTAATGCAACTAAAATAGATTTAAAAAAACAAAAGAAATATTTTCTAAAGTAGAAGATGTAAAAAATAAAAAATAAAAGAAATATTTTCTACAATCTTGCATTTTTCTCAAATTTTCGTTCAAAAATCTATTTCGCAAGAACGCGGTAATGATTTTGGTGAAAAGTAGATCATATTTGTGTGATATGTTGGTATTACTGCAGGTAAATTAAACAAATTTAATAAAAATCCATTCTGTAAATTTGCAATTCTATATCACATTTTTTAAGTCAAATTGTGAAGAATTTTAATTGAAGCTTTTTTAATTTTTGACAACGAAGATTTATTGTGAAAAAAATTTAATTTTGTAGAATAGATCTCCGTAAATTTCTTCAATTCATTTACTTTCGCAGTAATATTTAGATACTGTACCATATGTTGGAAGAAAGAAGAGGGATCTTCCAATAGATATGTTAATAAATATATTGTGTATAAGCTAAAGCAGGGGGGGGGGCGGGGGGGCTAGGAATTTACCTGATGAGTTTCTATACTCTACGGAAGAGACAAAGCGCAGCTTTGGCGCCTTTTGGTGAGGTAAGATAGAATGAAGCTTAACATGGTTACGTTCATCGCTAGTAGATGATTGGAATCTATCTGAAACATGCCACATCGAACGTCTAATATGAGGGGAGGGGTAACAAGTAAGACAGACCACGATATAGTAATCATCTTGTCTCGATACGTTGTTTCACGATCGTACATCGTGTCAATGTTGCACACCTCGAGCCTGAGTCTCGGGAATACTGACTAAGTGTAATTGATGCGATAAAAGTGTAATGCCTTAATAACACCTCGCCTGAAATAAAGTCGCCTGAATTTATAGCTTATGAGCGATTCATGAAACTTCATATGAAATTTTGCGCATTTCTAGATGTACTTCAAAATTGTATGTTTATGAATCTGCCAAAATGACATTGTATATGTTGATCTCGTAATCATAATTTGACTTGATAGTAAAAATAGTAGATAATGACGTGATGAGAATTCCAATGAGACAAAATATTACACGATATTAACACACGCACGACGTAGTTACGTGAATTGCTGTAAACACCTGTACGATGTTGCTTCGATTAGAAAAAAGTATGTTAAATTAATATTAATTGATACACTATGTTACAAGAAGATTGTCAGAACAAGCGATAGTTGGGCAAAGAATTTCAAAGTGGAAGACTCGTGATATTCGAAGAATTAATTGGAATCAATCGAATGTGTCCTTCGGCCTGAGAAGGCTGCCTGGAATTGAGTGTCAATATATGGAATTGTCGATAGATGTTGTCGTCGTTCTAACTGTGAAAACAATTAATGACAGTTAGTTTCGTGCCGTTGAGTAATGGATGAAAGCGACAGAACATCGAAGCAACTACGTAATAGAAAGTGACTACGCAACGATTAGTAGGGTACCAACTGTTGGACATTACCATTGTCTAAATACTGCTATGTAATAAGTTCCTTATGAGTTTTGCGTATAAGACGTGATAGAGGAGACGATAATAGAGATATCAGTGTTCTAAGAGAAAATACCGCGAAATAAGATTGCGCGCTCTACAATTTCTTTACGAGTTCGTTGTATATTATTGTACAACAATATCTCTACACAATTTTACGATCCTTTTTCCTAAATTTTTGTCACAATTACATTGTGACCAACTTTAATCTACTTGATCAATCTCGTTTCACGGTAAAAGTGGGTTGAGGAGGCAATAAGAAGTGGACGAAGACCGAGGTAGGCGACGCAAGAAACAGGATCGAGCGATCGAGGTATGATCAAAATTACAAAAAAAGTGATAAGCATGAGAGGGGCACACACCAGCAGGATATATATCATAGATCGTGTTAGAATTGATTGAGTTGTAGAATCGGTCTGCTTACCTCCGTTCCCTAGCTAGCAATGGAAGCAACGTAATGATCAATGTGTCAATAATACGACCAGAGAAAGAGAGAGAAAGAAAGAGAGAGAGAAAGAGAGAGAAGAGAGAGAGAGAGGCGCAAACGGACTTATGTCTTAAAGCGACGCCTTAAATGGTATGCGATTAATCGAGGGATCTGTTTTCCGATGGTGAGGACGGCATTGGACTATCCGAGACAAGAATTCTCGTCCTTAAACGAAGGGCGAACGACAAAATTCTTCAAGTTGCAAGCCTCGCTGTAAAGGGGAAAATAAAGTGAAGACAATTGCGTCAAGAACCGCGCGAGAAACCACGAATGTAAAGGGATAAAGAGAATCATCGTTGTGGCTAAGAGAAAAAGAAAGATAGAGACAGAGAGAGAGAGAGAGAGAGAGAAAGAGAGAGAGACTGTTGGCAGTGGTCTATAGACAATGGCTCGATCCAACTGTGGTAGCAGTCAGCGATTCTTCGCACTGACTGCGCGTACGACAATAATGAGACATATGCGAGAGGCTTGCAGTCGCATCGATCGTATAATCGATAGTTTCGGGACCTTCTAAAGAAGGTTTATAGGATTCTCGAAAGTAATGGAATACCTGTCGTCGACGACGGCTGCTCGGCACAGGTCGCCCCGGCGGCCGTTTCGCTCGCCTCGCGCAAAGTAGCAGATCCGGCACTGGTGCTCGATACGGATCCTGCAATCGTGAGATATTACTATAGTCGTGAAAAAGACACATGAAAAAAAAAACAGAAAATAGCGACAATAATGCATTACATTTATAAACATATACATATTTTTATGCAACCGTGAGATATAACTATACAGCCGTGAAAAAATACACGAAAAAAAAAACAGAAAATAGCGACAATAATGCACACACACATTTATAAAACATATACGTATTTTTTAAATTTAATCTGATTGCATGTTTATCGTAATATCTACTGTGACGTTTTAGATATTACTGGATAATTGGTTTTATGATAAGAAATGCAAAGGAATTAATAGTGTAGTACCACCAATGCGAGTGCCGTTCGGAGGTGCTGTTACTTGAGTGTGATGCATTGTTTTAACCGTGCTACTCGTGTTGGATTGGGTCGAATGAGATTGAGCTGCTGTGGAATGCGACACCGGTGTCTCGGCGGGCGTGCGATTCATGTGTGCTCTCGATCCCAGATCGCCAGTCAAAAGATCCATCAACAGAGATGGCCTCTGCGTGCGCGGTTGTTGGCTCTCGGTTATCGGATGTATGTCCACCACGCTTCTTTTAGGTTCCGATTGCATCTCATCTGCACAGATTTAAAAAAAAAAACTTGATTGGAAAGTTAATTTAAATTTAAAAATAAATATTTTTATGAATTAGGATTAAATAAATTTTCGAGTTTGCTGTAAAATAATTGGGATGAAAGTAAATGTGAAACACGAGGGAAAATTCTTTACTGAAATAAGTGCGATCATTTTTCAACATTGCTAAAATACCAACCGGATCTTCGATTCTCAATTTCCTGCTTTAGATTCTTCAACTCGTGAATGAGATCCATGAGCAGCGCGCCCCGCGATTTCGGCACAGTGGTACTGCTCCCATTGATCTTCTCGCGTATGATGGTGTGCATGTTTCGTTCGTGCTCGGATATCGGTGCTTGTCCGATCTTATAGACGATGAATGGAAGCATTTGAATGTACAGAGCTGTGCGGTGGGTCACGATAAATTCTATGAAATTCCAGAGGTACGTGGAAGCTTCGTTGCGCTTATTCAGGAGACGCATCGCACGTAGAATTACCCGCCATTCCGTTCTCAGTTCAGTCTCGAAACATATCGTCATTATTTTAAGCGCTAAAATCAAACAGTCAGGCATTAGATCTAAATTGCTTGTAAGAGCAAAAGTAACGTTCAAGCACGGTAATTTTATAGCAATTTTATAGCAATCATATATAATAATTATAAAATCAAAGAAATTATATATAATAACTTATTTTCTAATTTTAGCAAAAATGTATTTAATATTTATGTTCTTTATATATGTAAATCTTACCTAAGAAGGCAACCTGGTATAATGTTAATGATGTTTTCATCAGAGCTTTTGGATCTCGCGCGGTGAACGTTATACTACCGGTCCTTGTATCCGTTGGTGGTCTTTGCATCAGTGGTATCGGTTTCGCACCCGGCGGCCAAAGTGCGTTCAGTACGGTCGTTAAAGCGAAAGAGATGTCCGATTGTTTCAGTTTCGGTACATCTGAAGGCATCAGTTTAAGATAATATGTATGATTTAAAATAATATATAAGATATATTCGTAATGTCGTTTTCTCGAATGTTACAGTGATCTTTTTACCTTTTCTCCCAGTTCCAACGCGCAGAAATAATGGTATCAACAAGTTCAACAGGGCATTCTCCGTGCGAGCCTGAGTGGCAAACATGTTCTGACCGCCGAGAACATTTTCCAAGGAATATCCCTCGCCGAAGGATATCACGTGTAGAGCAATCAGACGTAGCACCGTCGAGCAAAAATGCGGAGGCGGAAGTGGTGCGGGCAGCTTGCTCATTAGAGCAGCTGTGGAGGCTGAAGTTAAATCCTCAGACAGATGGTCTCCGACAATTAAAGCCTGAAAGGAGATTAACGATTAATTGAAATTGAAAATAAATAAAATTCAATTAAATTAAAGTAGATCTGAATAATAGCAGAAAAAATAATTTTAATATCTACCTGACAAGTGGACAACAACGTTTTCAAATACTGAAAGTGCGCGATGTACGGACTTTTCGCCAGAGTTTCGTAAACCCCTTTCAAAAGATCACTGGCAGCGGCCCAATCGGTATTTCTTCTGATCGACGGTTTTTTGTGTATTTTACTGAAGGTCTTATCCAATCTCCTGAGAATGAGCGTTAACGCCGGTCTCATCTCGTCGGCCGCCCACTCGGTTGAAGGGAGAATATCGTTCATGTATCGCTTGAGCCCGCGGCAACCCATAGTAACCGGGTCGTATGGAGAAATTTTCAGAAGACTATGAGCGATGTCAGCTAAGCGCTAAATGATAACAATTATTTTTTAAACATAAATCTTTCTAGGAGCAAATATAATCGTATGAAAAATAAAAAATATGAAAAATTATGTTTTATGAAAAAAAGAATATCCTACTTCGTTACTTATTAAATTCATTGTCTAGAGATAAATTAAACGTTGCAAGTAATGTTACGAAGATAATCGTCAATTTACCACATGGCATTTTGAATCCAGTAATTCGATATTTTTTGAATCCTGAGACTTCCTGTTAAGCTCTGCCAAACGAACGGAACAGCGAGCCACAAAATCCCCGACCATATTTAACAAAGTGTCGCGCGGTCTTCTGAACTCGTTCTTATGGAAATCCTCGTCTCGATCATAAAAGTGTCGAGCTTTCGAATGTTCTAAATATTTCGTGTGGGTGTCTTCTTCGAAATCGAAGCCCGGCGAATACGGACCTTTGCCGTAATTCCGTTGACTGGAACCTTTATGTTCGGGACTCGATTTCTGCGGACCATTATAATACCTGCAGCGAGAATTAATGAGGCATTAATTTTATTAAATAGCATTGGAAAAGAAGCGAACTGTGGCGAATTTAATTCATACTTTGTCAACGCTTCGGAATTGTTGACTAATGTCCTAACTGCAATTGCCAATTGATTTATTATCTCCTTCTCCGTTTTGCCTTCCTTATTGTACGTGGGTAATTGAATCTGTCGAACGTAGCACGGCAATATTGCCTCCAATATTGTCTGTAAAAAAATATAATGTACATTACACACTTAATAAAAATTGTGACATTGTAAATTGGCAATATTATACGTGGGATTTCTTACCAGCATCTGTTGGCCTCTGATCGAGTCAGGTGCATAAGCTATCACCATCACGCAGAGAGATATACAGTCGAGCACATCGACCATTTCGTTTTCGTCATGATAACAAAAATCTATCGCTTTCAAAGGCTTTTCTTCCTTCACTAATTCCCCTATATTGAGTGGATCCGGCGACGGAGTTTCCAAACTCAATAATAAGTTAAATAGGCACGTAGATGGAACCTTAACAAAATCACGACCAATATTATTTTCCAGAAATACATGCATATGTTTTTTTATTTATTATTTAATAAAAGCAAACCTTATGAGCCTCGCCGTGGACACTTATCATGTCCGTGTCCAATATGGTAGAAACGCTGCCAAACATTTGTAAAATGAAAGGTTTACGGTTCATGAGATAGAATTGCTTGACGGCGTACTCGACAGTGGTCGTCACGAGCTTGTTGGTCTGATGCGTCGAGTATAGTTGCAGTAAGGTCGGCATGATTAGCAAGTAGCCGTTTGTCGAGAAGATATTTTTAAAGTTCATCGCAGCGTTTATGTAGGTCGCCACAACGTAGCGTAGAATGCAAGAGTCCTCGCTGTGAATGATCACGGCGCCGTTCAAGACGTTCAGAAAGAGGTGTATATCACCGGAATACGCGAAATTGCCGGCCATGGCCTCGAACATGCGCGCGATCAGTCTGACCCACATAAATTTGTGCATCACATCCAACCCAAGGAGTTCCTAAATTCAAAGAGAATTTTATGTTTATTTATTAATATTATGTACATTATTTTAAACGATATGATCTGATATAAATTATTAGATCGAGCAGGTTGAAGCGCGTAAGAGACTTAAATACATACTCTGCCGATTTCGCCACCTTTGTACAGATCCAAGTCCGCTTCTAATGCCTTTCGCGGAAACGATGGTAGCTTCATGAGTTCTTCGTGAAGAAACACAACTCTCTGCACTACCATATCAACATTCTTCAGAATCGCCCAGGTCAGCAGTACCTTTCCTATTTCTACGAATTTGTGCATCAATTCCTGCCGTTGCAATGCATTGAACGCATCCTCCGGCTTCATGTGAACGAGTTCGATTTGCGGGAATTGAGATCTCTTGAAAAAATAGTGGTCTCTGACGTACGACGATGGATTGTGTATTTGATCTGCAAATTGACGAAAAGTATCATCAGTATTAATAAAATTATTGAATAGTAAAGTTATTGTTAAATCAAATAGAATAAATAAAGAGCTCACGCGTTTTGTAATCCACGAGGAAATACTCGTGATGCTTTGATTCCTCGACACCAAAAAAGTCCAAGGACTCCCGGAGTATCTGACAAAATTGCGTGTCCTCTTGGACCGGAAACTGCGAGGGTATCTCTCCGGCGTCAGGATCCTGCGGTCCGTGAACGATGATTTTCTTCGCCGATGGAACATTCGCTGTAAGTAGAATTGACGCATCGCATTGTTCCTTGCGCAGGATTTGCTTTAGATCTTTGAACATAATGCCGTGTACACTGTGCACCACCTGAGAAAATTATTATTGGCAATTCTATATTAAATGAATAAATGGAACGTGTAAAAAGGATTAAAAACAGGCTTATATTTTACCATCCACAGAATTGACAACGCGGTTCCGATCAACTTTTGGCCCTCCTCGTGTGGAGTGCGGACATAAAACATGACGTATCCGATAATATAATTGTACAGCGCGAACGCAGCCTGTTGCGGCAACTTCGGGACAAATCTGATAAGGTGTCTCAGAATCTTGAACATTAACTCCTGCTTCTCTCTCGTAAGACGTTCCAGTACGTAGCGGAGAAACAGCGCGCTGTCTTCCACCAAGCAACTCCAGATCACCTGATAGAAAAATAAATTAACGTTATTAAATATCAAGACATGTGAGATGACAGCTTACAAATTTATTATTTTTGTACCTGATACGCCACTTCGTACACCGCATTTCCATCGTCGGAGACCGCTGGATCGTCCAGGAGATTAATAATTTGAACAATCGCTGAACATAGCGATGAGGGAAACAACGAGAGAGCCGACTGAGCGTGATGCGTTTGAGTATTCCTCGGCACAGTGTCAGCAGCATCTTCGTCCCCTACATTTCCTTCATTAAAAACGGAGAGAAATATTGCAAGCAAAGGATGTTCAGAAAGAAATGGATTGTATACCTTCGTCGTGATCGTCCCCTACTGGACTGGGCTCGTAAGCGGCTTGCACGGTGATCGGTATCGTCGTAATAAGAAAATTTTCTCTCTCCTCCCGCTTCTTGTCGTCTTGCGCCTGAAGAGCCCTTGTGATCAGTTCGGTCTGCTGCTTTTTCCGCGTTTTCGTCGCGGTCACTAGAGATCTCTAAAATAAGAAGCGAGCGCGTCGCAAGTAATCTATTAATTTAGAAAATATAAAAACCCCCCCTCCCCCGTATTTATTAATTTTTTCATGGCCTAAATTATAGCTAAACAAGAACATTCTGTGTAATAAAATATGCGCTCACACTAGTTCGTGAGTACTTTAATTCTTCTTTGATATTTATTCACTCACATGATGTTCCTGATTGATAGTGACCTCCTCGACTTTCGTTTTGACCTGGGGCATCCAGGGTGGATCGACCACCGGCAAGGATTCTATCCCGATCTTCGGCGAGGGCAGAGTAAATTCTATACCTGGCGGAGATACTTTGAAAGTCAGATGAGCCGCCTCCTCCATCCGCGGCCACACTTGGTATCGCAATTTCCACAGAACTTGAAATCGCAAAATGGCATTGATGCGCACGCTGGTGTTGCTGTGCTGAAGACCCTTGTGCATCAGATCGCTGGCCTGATTCGGTGCGCGCACGGCTGACACTATAAAGAGCGCCGCTGCCGACGCGGCGACTTCTTGATTGGACTCCAATAAGAGCTCCCACGCGACAGGCAGCACCTCCACAAACAAATCCTCCGTCATGACGACCGCCCCTTTGATTAACGTGGCCAGAGGTGCGTGAAAAGCGTCCTTTACTTGAGTCTTTACATATTTCAAGATTGGCGGTGGCTCTTTATCCTTCTCTTCTTCAACATCGATTTTTGTTGTGCTTCTTCTCAAGGACTCCTTGCCTCTTTCAGAGTCCTGCTCTGCGAGATCTTTTGAAGAATCCGGTTGAGTTAATCGACCGGATTGAGAACCATCTAGATTTTTTTCTATCCTATAAAAATATTTATTAAATCAGCATTAGGTATTCAAGTGTAATTTAAAGAAAGATAGTTATTTATAAATTTTTAATTTTTGGCATTTCTATATTAAAAATCAAAAGTATTTAATAAATTAATAATATTTCATTAATTTGATATAAAACATTTATTTCATATTTAATAAGTTAAATATTAATTTTATTAACAAATAATGTAGCAGCTGCATATTTTTAAAAAATCTGAATTACTTGTACTTTCGCCCCACGCTGTCTCTCCTTCGAATAGGCGACACCTGCGCGCTAGTTTGGTCAGACACTTTACGGCTGCGTTTGTCCTTCTTATCATCCTTCTTATCAGTGTCAATATCCAACAAACCCGTGCCGTTTAGCATACCAAATTTCTCTCCGTAGATCTTCCTCACCGACTTTATCAATCTGCTGCTGGCGCGCATTTGTCGTCGATGACAGAAGGGATGACAGAAGTTCTGGTGGGAGCAATAAAAATTGAAGGAATTGGCGACTTGCACCAGCACTTTCATCCACGGAAAATTCTTGTTAGTCTCGTCGGTTTCGTTACTGTCGCTCGGACTCTCCGGTGGCTGATCGTCGCTGAGAATTCCCGGCGATTCGTCGCCGCTGACTTCGCCGGCGACACCGGGCTCGGACGTGTCGCTTCTATCGGACAGCGAGCTCACTTTTCTCTTAGATTGAATCGAATCTGCACGTTTTACTGTATCTATAAATGGAACGTAATTAATTATTATTATTATTATTAATTATTTAGACATATACATATATAATTATCGATAGTAACAAAATTAATTCTGTAATGTATGATATTGTATAATATTCTGTATTGAAATTAATATATAATTTAAAAGAATAATTTGGAGATAGAATTAATTACGTTCATAGGGAATTATTGATAATTTAATAAAATAGCCTTGTTTATTTTATGATTTATTTTAATACTTTACTTACACGCTTCGCACTCCGTATCTTTGCCCTCCTTGGTATTGCGACGGAGTTTAAGGCTTCTCTTTTTAAACGAGCCAGTCGCAGCACTGGCAGTACTGCGACGAAGGAGGAACGGCCTACTTTGAGGTGCCTGCACCCTCTTTGCCTTCTCCTTCTCGACATTTTGGGCTTCCTCACCTTGAATCGTAACATTCGATTTGCTGCTTCCCTCAGACTCATTATCGGGTTCGTAGAGGACAAAACTGATTTTGCGCTCCGCTGGAATAAATTTACATTTTTGCCGGTCAAACACTTCCGATGAAACAAGATGATTTTCATTTTAGAATAAAACGCGCTCGTTAATTTTACACTCATTCCAGACTAACCGACAACGTCGCGATCGCCGGCTATGGATTGAAGGCTCTGCGCGGACGCCTGCGAGTGGCCCATGGACGACAGAGCCACGCTCCACCGTCGGTTCGCCTCTCGACTGTACATCCTTTCCCAGGGCGGCGGACGTTCCTTCGTCAACAGTTTACTCGACTTCGGTAAAGTTTGGTAAGTCTCTCTGAGAAACGCTGTCACTTCCAGCAGCAGAACACAAGCGACGAGACGTAACGCGAACGGGCATTGGGACCCATAATTATTTATGCTAGCTGAAAGTTATAAAATCGTAAGTTATTAAATCTCCATCTGACTGCCGAGTCAATCCTCTCGTATCTTAAAAGTACAGGACTAGTACCATCATCAAGGAAGTCTTCCTCCTCATCTTCCAAAACCAAGTCTCTCTGTTTGCTCTCATCAGACACTATACTGGTTACCTGCTCCATATTTTGCTTATCCTCAGCCATGAACTCTTCCAAGCGCGCTCCTATTGCCTGTTTCAATTAGAATCTCATGTTTCATTTCGTCCAACGATTCTTTCGGTGAAGAGAAGAAGTGTCTGTCAAGCTCAAGAAATACCTCGGCCCATTGATAAAATAACTTTCCCGCGGTGCGTTGTAGAATGTGAACGCGTCTAAGTGCGGTGGAGGCGTTTCGATTGTTTATCGGCACAGACGGTCGGAACATGGGGAAATTGTGCTTCATCCACGCGGGCCAGTGGCCCTTGTTGCACTGGTGCACCAAATACGCGCACTCCAGCATCAGGCAAGCGCGAGATACTATCGGCGCGTATGGCTGTAATCACACAGTTAAAGTATGCTTTCAGCTTTTCTCGCATTCCATAAAAATATAAAGTGCGAAAATACAAGTGTAATTATTACAAGGTCTAGAAGCGACGCCATTAGATGGGGATCGGGAACGGAGCCTGGTTGGCAGGTCTCCAGAAGGAATGAGAATCGTAACATTCCTTCGAACACCGCGAAGCGAGGTACCAATCTTCTTTCCTTCAGTACAATGAACTCGGACTCTCTGCAAGCCTCGCCGAGCTCCATGGAATTCTTTCGACTGAAATCTAATCGGAAACAGATGCATATCCCGACGGGTGAGTAAGCATCAATTCGCGGTTTTGTAGCAACGAAATAATATAACATAAAATCGTACATATATAAAAAATTTGTGTAAAATGCAAGTATATAAATCTACTCTTACAATTTCCGGGTGTCTCTTCCATGCTTTCCTTCTTCTTGCTCTTTCCAAAGCCGATTTTATTCAACTGATCCTCCATCCGACGTTTCGCTTTTTGCAGAGTTATACCAACTCTAAAAAAAAAATTAACACGCATATTTCAGTATGCACTGTTCTTCATTCCTCGATATAATAGAACAATTCATGTAGGCACGCAGGGTCTTTTAAATAGTCTTTTAAATAAACGACCTACCCGCGACCGGTTCGCGACGCGCTGCGATGATGGCCGTAATGGAAGCTGGGTTGTCTAACAAAGCTGCCGTCTGTAGGCGACTCGCTGCTCTCGTGGCTATCAGTAGAATCGGTCCGACTGTACTCCTTCCGGAACCAATTAACTAAAACCGATCGAAATGACTTAGTACACATAATGGCTCACAGTGCGCCGCAAATGATACGCGCAATTCCTGCCGCTCACCGATACCACCGATTTGAAACCGCGTCGATTTCCGCGGTCCCATCAGAGAAGGCTCACCGATACCTAAGTTGCGCTCGCTCTGCCGGGGCGTCAATACGTGATGTTTTTTGCGCAGATTGCCCAACGGGCTCTGACTGATCTTGACGTTTTCCTCGCTCAATTCCGTTTCGAGGAGACTCTGCAAATTCGATCCCGCCTACCCAGTTAAAGCCTTTTAATACTATACAGAATGACAGACAGCAGAGTAAATAGTGTGCGATTATTGTCGTAATATTTACAGCGCAAGTGGACGATGTGCTCCTCTTCTTAAAGAGGAACTTTCGCGTGCCTCTGTCGTCAACGGTGAAACACGTGTCTCCACCGATGTCCGCATGTTCCTCTAAATCCGATTGATGAATGTGTCTGTGAAAAAAATTAACATTAAACGTATAAAAAGATTGCGAGAGAATTCTTAGAAAAGCGTTTATTTGCTTCTCAGTAATATTATATTTTTCAATACTGAGAAAAAAAATTTTATTTGATTAAAAAGAATGATTTATTTGTATAGTCCTAACATTTAAATATTTATTCAAACTAAGTCAATCCTTTTTTTTAATTATGAGGAATGTTTCTTAATAGAAAGAAACATTTTAAAGAAAAAATTTATTTAAATTTTGCTTAGTTTTAAAACAAATAAATCTTTATTTAATTACAATTTTTATATTTGAAAAAATCCGTTTTCTTATTTTAAAGAAACTGTTTATTTCTTTTTATACTACAACATTTCCAATTAAAGAGATCTTTTTTAAATTAAAAAAAACTCAACTTACTTTATAATTGTTTTTAAAAGTTACTTTGAATATATAAATATTTTTTTCAATCTGTTAAACGTTTCTTTCACTTAAGAAAAGTACGTTTAAAGAAATATATTTATTTTATTTTAACAAATTTTTTTTCTCAGTGAACAAAATTACTTGATTTATTATTATTAAGATGTTCATATTTAGGTCCTACGAACCTAATAACACGCGTTGTCTGCATGTTGCTGTTGCATCGTTTATTCGGCCGATCCGCGGAATCCAGGATCCCGCTCAGAGCGACCCGTCGGAAGATACCACCGTGCGCCTCCTTGACGTATGTCATCAGTTGTCGCACGTCGCAGTAAAGGTTGATGTTCTCCTGCGCCTTCAGCTGCTTTGTGGAACCGATGAGGCGTGTAACCAGGACCTTGAACACGCAGGCCACGATCTGACCCTCGATACCGCGCGACCCGTAACCGCCGGCGTTGTACGACGTCGCGACGCCGCTCGCCGTCGTGATGACGTTGCCGCCGCTGCCGCCCGAAGTGCCGACCCCGCTTCCGCCGGCGCCGAAGTTCGTCGCGTAGCCACTTTGAGATGCCACATCCGGCGATTTTCCCGACATTCTTTTCTGATCTGAGAAGAAGATTAAAAAACCGAGTCTTTTACATTAAGATAAAATAAAAAATCTATTTTTCTGTGCACAATATAGTTCCCCAGTAAACGAGAATGGATTGAAACAGATTGAAAAAATTCATATCAACGTTTGCGAATGCGTACTTCTAAAAATCTGAATCCATTTCAATGCCCAATGCCTTTGTATTCATTTAGGAATTGCATGAAGCACATTTTCTATGCTATTCAATCCAAAAAAATTCAGCTTTAAAAAGTAAATTGTGAATACTGATTAATTCAAAATTCTATATAGGAAATGCAGTTTTTTCAATTTGATTAACTTCAAAAAAGTTTCTTTGTGAAAATGGATCGTGAATGTTATTCAATTAAAAATTGTGACTAGGAAGTGCATTGTTTCAATTCATCTAAATCCAAAACAATATTATATTATATTTGTATTATAAAAAAATAGAAATGCATTCATTTTCACGGAGGCCAAGTCCATTTCAATCCATAAATTAAACAATTTTAATTTATTTTAATCCTTTCCCGTTTACTGGGTCAAGTATAATAGCATCTTTTTTTAAATTTGCATTTAAGTGTTACTCACTAAGCGGCGACAGCAATGAACTCGGATCGACGCAGTATCCAACATACGCGTGAAAGAAGTCCAAGATTTCCGTCAACGGCTGCTCTCGTACCATCATTCGTAAAAATCGCGAGAATTGACGGGAGCTCGCGCGATGCAGTTTCGTCAGGATAGTCTGACCCTGGGAGCGGCAGATATCAGCCTGAGGCCCGCGTACCCCGTCCAAGCAACCGTGCGGGCAGCCTAGATGCCTCAACACTCGGATCACGCAGTTCATGAGGAGATTGTGAGCGGTCGGCTTGCCCTTGCCACTCAGATCGTATCTATGTTCCTGTTCCGTCGGCGAATCCTGCTTCTTTCCTGTTTCCGACTTATTGTCGATCCCCGTACCAGATCCTGACACGAGAAGTAACACTGACTTGAACATAATTATGTAACAAATCTTTCATTTTATTCTCATTATTAAAAGAACCGCGAAAAATATAAATTCTTAAAAGATACAAAGTTAAGTTACTTAAAATTCTATTTCATTCAAATATAAATAATATGTTTAATTAATCTAATTTCATGCCTGCATTACTGCCGATGGCCTCCTCTCGCAGGCAATGCTTCATCACTCCCATGTCCATTAAGAGCTCCATCAAGTTCAGCATAATCTCGCAGACTCGCGGCGTACAGGTGGTACTATCTCGCAAAGCAACAAAGTGTATCGCCTAGACAAAATACGTGTGTAATCAAAAAAATTGAGAAAATGCAATGTTTCATATTTTGCAATTACCTTCAAGACGACTTGAAGATCAACATCGCCTTCCTTGGTGATGTAACACGCGGAGCCCGGAGCTTCCGGCACTTCGTCGCTCATGTAAGTGATATTGGAATCCGTCTGAGACCTCGTGAGACTGGGTTTCCTCTCAGAACACAAACGACTGCCTTGGACGCTGATGATATCTAACTGACTGTCGATAGATCCCTGAAGAGAAAATAATCAGATGCTTAAAAAATATGAATATTAAATAATTAATGTAATATTAGTTCCAAGAATAATTAGCAACGATCATGCTATTAAATTGTATCCTGTGTGTGGGATAAACAAGTGGGATAAACGGGAAAGAAAATTAAAGATACCATCGTACTTTGCAGAAAATTGCAGGTTTCTTTACCTGACGCTTCATGTAATCGGGGGATGGGGTTGGCGTGTGTTCCGTGACGGTGATAATAGGGTTCGGCGCGGTGTAGGACTGACTGTAAAACCGACTCTGCTTCCTCTCGATGCGAGTATCGCCGATGTACCTATAAAACAGCGTAGATCAGAAGTCCAATTTGATGGTGTCGTTTCGAATATCCTCATGCCAAATTGCCAACGCGAGCCCTAGTCAAGCACTATGATCTCGCTTTTATGATTTCGATCTACGATCGTGCGCCTGTTCCGTCGACACATGCACGATGATTTTTAACAACTTTTCGTATCAACGTTGCCCAGATAATCACGAGGCTAACAGTATAAAATCGAAAATCAGTATATAATCAGAACAAAAGATATATATTTAAAAACTTTCAAATACATAAAGAAAAAAAAGGTGGTTCGGTTCTAGAAAAATAAATTGAACATTAATATTTGTACTAAAAATTAGCATTGAAGTTAATTAAATTTAATACATGTAAAGATGGATTATTAGAAAAATTGTTTTTATTTCTTTTCTAAATATATTTGAGAAAACTGTTAAAATACTAAATGATTCACATATATCTTACAATTAGACTGTTGTCATCAATTCTTTTAAATAAATTGAAAGCAATAAGACGGGATTTTTATTTGTTTATTAAGAAACTAAAAATATATTAATCCTTATATCAACAATTTTAAATTAAAAGATCAAAGGGCAACGTTATTCGATTTCTGATGTACTTCATTGTATACATGCATAAATATGTAAAACGAGGATGTTTCTACAATGTAATCTTCTGATTTATATCTATTAGGATTATGCTGGAATGTAAAATAATAGATTATAAAAGCAAAATGAGGAAAAATTTATTAACTTTGATAATGGGTTTTAATTAGTGCAATATAATTTTAATGTAATAAAATATAAATTATACATATTTTTAAATGTTGTAAAATAATATATAAAGATATAAAGTATAAAATATATAAAGATGTCATAAATAAATAGTCATTGATTTCGACGATTAGAAAATTATTATCTCGTGTGTAAATGTTAAAAAGCTGGAATGAGATAGAATGAGAAAGGGAACGATTTTATGTACGAAAAACTTAACAAAACATAAATTATTATTAAAGAATCGAAATTATTACATAAATGATTAGTTAAAAAATTATTATTTGTCAATTATAATATACGCGGAGCGGGTTTGGTGATGTGCCTCATGTGCCTTCGTGGATTCTTGCCGATGTGCCGATGCGACTGAATTTCGGTGTGTTATTAAAGGGGTAAAAGTGCGCCCTACCGAAAGCAGGAAGCTCGTAAAAGAAGCGTGTGAACTGAGCTGCAGTACGGAACTTCCTCCGAATGACGTTGATGACTTACCCTCCCGCGGTCAGCTCGTTAATCAAGCAGCTGAGCACGAGTTCGGGGTGAAAGGGCGAACGAGAGAGAGAAAAGAGACACACACAGAGAAAGACCATTACGCATAAGTATTACGATAGGCTTATCAATATTTAAGCGCTGGATTAATTGTCGGAGAAGGTTAATTGTACGAGCTACATTCTTGGACCATATATCAGACTAATTACATCTAACTTCCAATAAGTAACATAAATTGCTTCCATTAAGACACATCGTTATTATTTTAACAAAAAGAACATATTTAAAAAAAACTGTATTAAATTCTAGAAAATTTGTACTATAAATCGGGGGAATTACAAATAAATCTGTACATATGCATCATTCGCCCGATTTATGGTCGAAAATATTGTTCGAGATTTAGTCAGTGTTGGATAAAAATTGCATCTAATTTTCAGTATTTTTGATCAATATAATTGCAACAAAAAGTATATAAAAATTTAAAATATGTTTGTTATGATATTCAATTGTAAAAACAACAAGAAGAATTTTTGGAATATTGTACGCATATAAGTATATCTGTTTTTTTATTATCCAACATTGATTCTCTGATCTTCTAGACCCGCAAAAAAATTTCTTGCTCTAAACATTCTTGCTCGTCTCATTACATACAGTAAGTCTAAACATAACTACGTTCCTCTTGTCTATTATTGTTTTCACACAATTAAGATATAGATATATAATTGTAAATAATTTCTTAGACTAGCCTATAAAAATATGTTCGCGTGTAAATATGCGCTATATATATACTTATAATTATCTTTTTATTGAGAATTAAAAACACACAATTAAAATTGTGTAAAATGTTATTCAGTAAATTAAAAAATAATAAAAATTATGTCAGTTAGTATAACAATCATAAAACGCGCTTATTTACGTGCGAATGAAAAAGATTGAAAATTAAAGAGAGAAAAAAATCGTATAATGTCGAAGTTCTCTATTGTTTTTTTTTCTCAAGTAAAGCCAGCAGCGCCTACCTTAAACTCGGCATACTCTTCCCTTTGATTAGATTCGTAGGATGCTTCATGTAATCGATGTCCTTTGCCTCAAAAATCTTCGAACTGGCCGAAGTTGGTCTCGATCCTCCAGTCAAATGATCCTCTCCAGTATCAAGACTTGTATGACGTTCCTAAAAATCAATGTTACAAATAAATATTAGTACAGATATTATATTAAATCCTTTAACTTTTAGATAGGAATCTAAAAAGATAATCTAGAGACATTACAAGAACTAATGAAATGACGAATGGATTTGGCTATGATTTGTGCAAAAGTAAAATAAATTATTACTTTCTTTTGTTATTATTATCAAGCAATTAAAACATTTGATCATTTACCTGCTCGAATAACATTTTGGGTTCTTCCTGGCCAATTTTCTCAAGTGCCTTCTCCGACTTCGAGAGAAGTTTTGTTTCCACAAAGGCCTTAAGATCGGCCATTTTCATGCGCTTTTTCGTCTTCTCGCTGGCGCGTCTGGTATGCCTCGATTCGCCTTCTTGGCCTTCGCGTATGATAAATCTGAAAATGTGACCAAGTCTACACGAAAGAAGAGAAAGGATTTGTCCTTAGATGACAAAAATCATCGCGAATACATACCCGTTGTCAAAGAGGCATCGCGCGTGTCGGGCACCTCGATAAAATCCTTTACATCCTTCTTCTTACTCTCGGGGCTCTGATAAAACGAGACTTCGATTTTCGGTATAGGCAAGGAGTTGCTCCGGCGACGTGGCATCTGTTGCACCGAGGTTTCTTCGTTGATTCTTCGTAGCCTACGATATATAAATTCCAAGAGCCATCCATATAATAGCATTATTTTTTCAGATGTTTATTTTTATATCGGAATTATTTTAATATAGCGAGTGAGTTAAGAAGGCATAAAATCAGTACATTAATTTTCGAAATAGCATTGATTCTAATTCGCGCGAGCTAAGCTAACTGACCGATAATAGAAAAATTGAAGAGCCCAGTGAACGCCTTCCTCCTGCCATTGAGGCACGAACAGACATCTCAAAGTGGCCACGTCTAGAAAGGTTGCCGCACGAACGTCCGAATCGACGAATGTAGAACCGGTGGTGCGCTCGGTTGTAGATGTATCAGTTGCTGTTTGACGTTGTATTGAGAAACTTCCGCGCGTTTTCGAAGTCTCCTGCGCTTCTTTTTCCGTTTTAATTCTCTCCTCTTTCTCCCTGTCCATACCTCTAATCAGGAAAGGCATGATTCAGACACGAGAGTTATTTTTTTCTTAATAAAAATAAATTATTTTGATGATCAAATGAAAGTTATAGTTATGAAGCTTAACTGACCCGGTTCTCGTAGCTTTTCCATGATACTGTTTGCACGTGTCCAATCCAGAAATTGCCGTGACCTGTTCTATCGTGAACTGTTCTATCGTAGATCTCGAGGAGGTGGTCGTCCTGCCCATCGCGACGTGAAAGATGCTGGCCTCGCCCTGCGGTAGCCATAAAAATATTATTTGCCCTGCGCTCAGCCTCGAGACATTACCTCGTGTAACTCACTGCGAATATAGTGGAGACTTCTTTTACCCCATCGAGCATTCTCTCCGATTCAGTCAAAGATGGTAATCTGAATATTACCTAGCGTAATAAAAGAGATAATATTATTTTAATAATAATGTAAATTTTTCAATCAATTTTCATCACACAATTATAAATTTACCACGTGCTCGTCCTCTGCACCGGAGTTTTCCTCAGGGATCGTTTCCGGGAAAACCGTGTCCTTCGGTGACGACAGCCAAGTACTCTGCTGCTGTTATTATTTTTATAAAATTACTTTTCGTTTACAATTACAAAACTTTGATAACGCTTGTCTCATTGGATTGTAAACTTACATCTTCGTCAATTGCTCTCGAAGGCAGCGGAGCGCTTTGTTCCGAGGTCGATTGGCTAGGTGGACTTTCTACATCTACAATAACAATATTCCATTAAAGAGAAAAGTAATACGATTAAGAAACAGATGTACTAAATTAAATAGAACGGCAATATTATCAATTATAAGATATCTTTTAACAGATATATCTTATAATATTATTTTTATAGAAACATATTACAATATACGAATATATAGAATTCTGTTTTAATAAATCAAAGTGGACTCACTTCCGCCAACGAAAACGTCATCCGACAACATGTGATGCTTGGCGGACTTGAAGGATTGGCTCCAATAAATGCGCGGCTTGGCACGACAATGCGCTGTAAAGCAAGTTGTATCCGGATGCCGGCATTCGTACATGGCAGACCATATTTTTAGGCCGTTCTCCAATCGTAAATTCGTCTTAAAATCAATGTCTTTTAAGTGATTGCACAGAGGTGCAAATAGATAGATGAAGAGCTGAAAAAAGAGGTCATTGTCGTAATTTATGTTCTATCGAATCCCAAAGAGAGGCGAGATTTCGATAACTTACAGTCATGGTAGGTATCGGAAACAAGTAGAAAAAAGGATTCGACGGGTCGGCCTCGTTCTCCGCGCATTCTTCAGCTGAATCCAAAAGTATCCAGTGAAGAATGTAAAGAAGAGTCGTTTCCATCGTGCCGAGGGTCTGAAAATCCTTCCTGAAAGATTAACGATTTACGTGAAAAATTCAAGGAAGCCTGGAGAGATTATATGCTGCTCAAGTGTGGTTCACCTATTGTGCAAGAGACTAGCCGTAGCGTGGAGAACGTAAGGAAGAGCGGCCTGAATTAAACGCCAACGTGGCACACTTCTCAATATCTCGCTCAACGAGGGTGTCAGATCATTGTGAAGATCCTGTACTAAAACCCTTTCAAGGCACTATAGAAAAAAGAAAGAGAAATGCTTTAATAGAAGCTTAATAGCTTGCTACTCTTTCAACGTCATCGATTGCAAGTTTATAGAAATAGTGTTTAATATATATCGATTTTTTTAAAACAGATAATAATTAATAACTGATTATTCTAGTATTTCATGTTTTCTTTTTTTAGAGAATACGCATACTGACCGTGCACGCTTCCTTCATTTCCTGTGCGAGCATTTTGGGAATAAATAAATAACATTAGTAGAAAAATGATGACATTAACATAAAATAGTTTAAGATAAAAAAATTAACAGAATATGAATGAATTAAAACAGTAATTTTTGTGATTGGCTACGAACGAAACTAAGTGTAACGTTATTGTATTTAATAATAAATATATAATCGTGTAAATTTTTTGCTTAATCGTGCAGATACTGATATAGATATGTTACTTGCTCAGTTATAACAATGTGCATGTGCTAACTTTTAATATAGCAAAGCATAAATTGTCTAGAAATTAATAATATCGCGAATCAAACTGTGTTAAAATCAAACTATAGTAAGTAATATATTCTCTTCAATGTAAACGTACAATTATGTTTGACTACATTATTGTAATTTTATTTCAGGTTGTGTTGGAGAAATAATGTGTAATGCGGTACATCTATTACTGTTTTTGTCTGATCACAAGAGGCGAACAAACATGCGAAAGATGTGAGGATGTTAAAACTACAGAATATAATACATCAGACACGAAAGTAGGCTTGCGTGCGAGCTCACAGGCAGATATTAAACGGGCAAGCCAACTTACATGATGGCCTGGCGCGTGTTGACAGAACTGCAGGTGACACGTGGAGGCGGCCGCGTGGAGAGGATATTTTATTAGTGCGAGTAAAGCAGATATTAGCATAAAGGTAATAGGTAGAAACAATCAATTGTATGCATTGTATTAAATCCCCAATTACTTTCGCATAAATCAGGCAGGGACAATATATGCTCTTAAGGTTCAACGCAAATTAAAGGTATACGGAATAGAATACCAGGAAAGGAAATGTAAAATATGTCCATTGAGTATATATACAAGAAAATATTGTTTTTTTAATTTAAAAAGAGTAGGAGTATATAAATATAACACACGTATCACATGTATATGACGTTACAAGCCCTGAGAGTCTCCGGGTTAACGGTTTATTATATCTGTAAATAGCTTCCTAAATGTACATGATGTAAGAGTAAAATACATAAAATCGAAAATTAATATATTTTCACATTTTTCTTGAAAGAATGATAAGCATTGTGACGAGGTGCCAGTCTTTATAAAACATTGTAATCCAAAATATATTGAAAATACGAAATAAATAGTATAATATTACGTTAGTATAGACATATGAAGCAGGCTCTGAACAAGAAGCACACAATTATTTTAGCAGAGATGATTACGGAAAGCGGAAATCGAGACGGAACGGAAGTTTTTTTATACAGTAGAGTAAAAGCAATTTTATATTCACGGAAATATTCGTCCGATTGGATCGATGTGTCAGGATCAATAATATTGGAAACATTGGCGATATAATACATTGGTAATATTAGCGACTATTAATATCGCAAAACGATCGCGAATATTCTTTTTTTTTTATCAATCGTCTTGATGAATTTTGCTCGCAGGAAATTTTCACATTTTATAATTAAGTGTCTCTAATAATAAAGTGATTTTTATTGTTTTCTCTTACAATCTAAACAATATTTGGAATATTGAAACAGTTGTTACCGTGCAAGATGCTTCGTGAAGTTTTCCTAGCTTAGCTCGAATAAATGGCCTGAAAATTAACAAAATGGATCAGACGCCTATTTTAAAATAAATATGGACACGTCAATATTTTCTTGAAAAATGATAAGGATTCTATGCAATCAGCTGACCTTATGTGACGCCAAAGAAACATCTGAACCGGAATAGGCAGAGGATACTCTTGCGTTCCCCCGTCCATGGACCGCCGTTTATCCATGATTGCTTTAAATATCACTAAAATGTTTCGAGATCGCGAACGAACGAGATTGAGTTTAATTAATCGAACACGGTGTAATAATTAGTAAAATCATTGGTGCTGCCATCGCTACCACGTGTCTCACCTCACCAGACCAGATCCAACATGAACCGCTAATATTACGCCTATGTCCTGCACACACCCTCGGTAGAGTCAACAACACTCCATCAGCCGGAGTGGATCAATCCCCGATTGGGGAACGTCGGAGTCGTCGACGCACGCATAGAAATCGACAACCCGCAAGATAAAAATTTCGTCTACTCGTGCCAAGTGACTCGCACGCACTTCCCTCTCTTGCGAGAGGGAAATTCATTTCACGCCACGAAAAGGCACAATCATCGCACGCGATATTATCGTCGGCTCGTTGGACGCAGCCGCCGGAAAACGCCGACGCCGGGCATGATGTTGCCGAAGGGTAGCGCCGCACCGAAGAAGAGAGAGTAATCACGTGTGCCACTCGGCCTAGTAACACACTTCCGTCATTTCCCCGTGGATATCCCTGCGCGACGCGGGTATGCACCCCGGCGCCGGGATAGCGTGTAACTGAAGGGAGGACTACGTAGCGGCGGTCTATGCGGCCACACACGTCGGCGAAGGATGGTGAAATGCGCGTGCGACTCTCAGAAAATCCAATGCGCCGGTCGTTCCATCGATCAGCCCAGGAATCTGCTGCTGGACCACCCCTACGGGAGGCGAGCCACCCCCTCGCGGCGCGCCGAGTTGTGCCGCGCCGCGCACCACGTTCCTATCAACCCATTTACCCACCTAGCCCCCGTCTATCCATTTTACTCGAGCAGCGCCCGATATAACGTTGGGCGAGGCCATCTTCCTGTGGAGCAATGACTGGCGAAGAACGCGCAATTTACCCTTCTCGTAATTTACCCTCCGTTTCCAGGGTGTGTACCGTTAGATTATGATAGATTGATCACGAGTACACCAATTGATCATTTATTTTTCACGCTAAAACAATAATTATTATTATTATTTATTGCCATTGCACCAAATATCATATAACTAGAAGAAATACAAAAAAAATGAAAGAAAGAAAAGAGTTGCGCAAATAAAAGGCTTTTATATAAAAAAAATTGGATTAAAGCTAGGATATATAAAGTATATGATAGTAAAGAAATTAAGAAAATATCTAATTAAGACAATGAAAAACGTTTAAATAAGATCGACGTAAAACTGATACATTTTCAAATATATGTACAAGACTTAACTAGCAAATCTGCTTTAAAATCGATCTCCCACTGCCCATCGTTACTTCATATATAATATGTGTGTGTCAAGACGTTCTTCAACGAGTCTTTTGTTGAAAATCCTCGACATCTTTTAATGTCATATTCAATTCAAACACGATTTCTCGTGCACACGTCATTACTTTTTTTGTTTTCGAAATCTCTTCAGGGTTTACCGGACTGATTTCTATGTAAATTTCTGTGTTAACATCCGCATCGCCGCTTGTCCTTCTCACTTCTTCACCGATAGTTCTACAAATGTCGCGCCACAATTCTTTCTCACGAGGATGCAGAACTTCGACAAACTCCCGAAAATTTTCCCAGTCCATGTCCTCGCTATTTTTGAGAATTTTACGATAAATTGGCAAAAACTCCGCCACCACGTGCTCGTCGTTATTTCCGATAATGTTTTTCAACGGTGCGTCCTTGTAAATAATTCGTCGTGTGATTCTTTTTGTAGAATTATCTGTCGACTTGTCAGAAGAAACAGAAGTTACATTCTCGTGAAAATCCTTGACGGAATCTTTGGATTTATTCTGATCCTGGCTACGCATATTTACAAAGCTATCTTGCCTCCCAAGCGGACGACCCTTTCGTAACTCGGACAGTTTAGTTGGAATACAGTCATCCGCGAAAATATTTGTCTCGTTGTCTGTCTTATAACACTTATTAGAACGCGCAAATGTGGCATCCGCGGATCTAGAATGTAGTAACTTTCCGCTATTTAGTGTGTCGCTCGTTAAATATTTTTTGTAATAAAACGTCGAATTCTTGTTCGACGTCACAATCGTTTTAATCAAACGACGAATCCCCCTGCGCGTTTCTGACGATAATCGAGCTAGGACATTCGAGTCATGTGTACACAGCTCGCTCATCGATTCTTCTGCGTTACCAGAGAGTCTGTCTTTCGCAATTTGAGCTCTGACATGTCGAGCGATGTCCAGAGAGGGCCTTGACGAAACTAATTTGCGACCTCGAGAGATATCTTTGTCTATATTATTCATCTCGTGTTTCCTACGCAGAGATCCGAGGATCAAATTTTCGATGGATGACGAGCTAAAGGTCGTAGCATTACTCCCCCTTCTTTGCTCCGAAGAAGCGCAATTCTCGAGAGAATCCTTTTCCATGTAACTAGACCGTCTGTCCGTTTTCATTTTCGTTACCGCATGAAAGTGTCGCGAAATATTTGAAGGAAAGCTAACGTTCTCTCTATCATTGTCTATTTCCAGTGGATAACGGTACTCGTTTGAAGCTACCCGAGGTAAACGTCCCGATTCGTCGAACAACCAAAATCCCGCGTCAGCACGCTGCAGACAATCCTCTCGGCTGCCATACAAGACGGAACTCCGTTCGTTTCTGGTGTCATTCAGGCGAGTGCAACGCCTTTCTTGTAATTTCGAGAGAAGTTCGTCTTCTTTCTCGTCTAACTCCGTAAATTGACCGCGCGCCAAATATTTCACGGTATCGACAACCGGATAAATATCACCGTGCTTGTATATATCATCGAGCGGTCGTTGCGAGGCTTGATGGATCTTCCGTGCGATATTAGAACATCGATCTCTTGCCAACAAATCATCGATTTGCGATTTTGGCTCATACAAAATCTCCCTTATGATCTCCTCTCTGTCAATACTACTAGCGTAAGCTTTTATCACGTTTGAAGAGTCATGCTTACTATACTTACTTCGCGCGGCTTTGCATTTGTATCTTTTGTTCTCCTCTGTTTCCAAATTTGTAAATAATTTTTTGATAGCTTTATTATCTTGATAAAATGTATTATTAATCGTGGCACTAATATCGGCTCTCGTAACAGAAATATTATCAGATTCTTTTGAATTTTCAATACATCCCTTCATTACAAAAGCGCGTTCTTCAATTGGCAATAATTTCATTTCGCTCAATTTGTCTTTGTATTCAATTTGATTCTCTTTGGAGTCATTAATTCCTTTAATTTTCGATCGTACGTTATTTATTAAATCTGGGGCACTTATTAAAATCTCTGACTGCTCATTAGTTTGATCATTATTACTACAATCGCGCTCGGCAGTTATAGTCTCACTATTGTATCTGGGTTTTGTTCTACTTTTTTTAAGTTTTTCAATAGCAGAACGCGATTCTAGCATATAACTTATTACTCCGCAACGTTCGCATCTGCGCAAAGAGGAATCGTTTAAGAGGAGATTCTCTAATTTCTTATCGCGACGCTGGGCCAATAAGCATTGCAATGTTCGCGAAATCTCGTTACAACAATTATTAGTCAGTGAGGAAACTTTAGGGTCAGAGTCTGCGATGAAGTCGAGAATCTTATAAACCGTTTCTAGCTCGATGAAGAGTGCATCCGGTGCATTAATCGTATCTTTACGCATTGGAGAACCTGCTTCTTTGTTATTTATTTTATCTTTCACTCGATCGTGTGATTCTTTCTCATTTTCGTGTAACACAGAGGTTAGTGGTTTGCCTGATTTAAAAGAGCGATGCGAATAATCGCAATTCAATTTCTGGTAGGTAGGTGATAATGATATAATTTTCGACATTTCAGCGTTTCCGTATGTATCCTTTTTCCCTTCATTTTCATCGAACGAAAGACAGAAATCTCGGTTACTTTCTCGCTCGGTTATGGTACTTAAAGTTTTCGTCGAAGACGTTATTGTGTCGTTCGAAGATGTAACTTGGGATGGGACTATCGTTACCTTCCATAAATCATTAAAAGCCATATTCGATACGCAACAGTCATAAAAGCGATCTTCTCGATGCATCTCCTTTTATATCGATCGTTCTGCAAAAGCAGATGAACTTTATTATTTACATATTCTTCAGGAAATTACATTTTTAATAAATAACTATTAAAACATTATAGGTATTAGGTAAAATTTGACAAGTTATTTTATTACCAGTTATGTTGCATATTTATCCATCAAAATGATGCATCTTCAGTGATTTACAATGCTTCTATTGTAATAAAATTTTAATTATTAGTATTTAATTATATTATATTATAAAATGTATTCTTATCAAATTTATATACAGTTATATAACGTACATAGGTTATAAAGTTTGATATTATTAACACGAAATTTGTCATTTAAATGCCTTATTCTTAACTCGAGTTTTGAGTTAAATTTCAACATTTTTGTGTTTCCATTATTAATAGCAATTTAAGACATAAAGATATCTAAGATATTTAAAAAATTTTGTTTTTATTATCAGAATAAAGCATTTAATTTAATGTAATTATTTTTCTGAAAAAAATATCCAATATACAAAGAACGTCATTCTTAATTTATGAACAAAGCACGATCTACGGCGGGAATTAAAAAGCGTTGCATTGAATAATCGCCTGTGACCGATATCGAGCCTACGCTCGCGGAAATATAACAAGTGACTGTTTAGCGTCCCGTCAGAATCGGCGCGCAGAAGAGGTTGCCTTCTGCGAGAATGCCTCAAATCATGGCAGAGGCGTTCGCGAGAGGATTGCTAGACAAGATAATGGTAGAAGTTCTGGACGTTGTAGAACGCGACGCGGAGGATGGTAAGGTGCAAGCTCTGTATGTCTCGTGAATGTAACGACGGATTGAATAGAGACCGTTGTTGTACGCGCATATGTCGTTGTTCATTGATAAACGCCGTTTCACGATGCTATCCCTGCAACAGAGCACGGTTCCCAGTTGCGATTGACATGCATCTTGCGAAGATAACCGCGCGCAGATGCATATAATTGTCCCTATTAGACACAAATAATATATATATATGCGATGAACGGCTGTTTATTAGGTAAATCCTGGGAACAGGACGTCAATGAGGAAACAGGCGATGCTCAACAGGAATACGTACACGGTAGACCGCAAGCAAACGAACATGCACACATAAATTATAGCATGGCCGACGAAATAGAACTGATCGCGAAGATAGTTCGCGATTTGCGCGACATACGCATCGGAGATTCACGTTATGTACTTCCGCCTTCATTGTTAGCGTTGGAGAAGCAGGTAATTGGATGTAGCTATACATTGCTTTTCAAGTAATTATTCTATTATTCTATTATAATCAATTTGTACAGAGATTATAGTTACAAGAGAAAAGGAATGAGAAAAGAGGAAATAATGTAAATTCAAAAGATGATATGATATGAATTCAAATTATGATAAACATTTTTAACAAGTCGAATAATAAGAAATTATTTTTTACGTATACTGTCTTTTTTTTAATCTTTAAGCAAATTTATTTCTAAGAGAAAATCACTGTGTTAACTTTAACAATTCTATGATCAAGTAAAATTACAGTCGCATCTTTTTCAATATTAAAATATCAAAGAAATATAATTTTTTCATTTAATTTCATAAAAAATAACTAAAAATCTTGTACTTCCGTACATTTACATATCTCATCACAAGCGGCTCTACGTAAGCCGCGTATGGCCGCAATTGCGGAGCACTCACGTGCGAGAGCACACTTGCGTGTGCAACGTGCTCGCGGTTCACTCTAGTGCCGCACATGTGCCACCGTTAATTCCCTGCGCGTTTGTTAGGATAAGAAGGTTTACACACGCGCTTGTCCTCGTTCGAACAGGTGAAGTGCGACGTGTGCAACGTCGACGATGCGGCGCCGCTCACGAATCCAGCGACTGACGACGTCGTCGAAGCTCAGCGCACGACCCGAGGTCAAGGCGACACGCACCAGATTGTACACGCGGCGACTCTCGAATCGCCGACGGAGTCGGTGAAGTTAATTCGGAGGAAGAAGGAGGGAGAAGCGACCAACGAGGCGACCAACGTGACCCGCGGTTTGCTGCAACAACTGATTGAAGATCTGGAGAACAAAGTTTCAATGCGCTCCGAGGACGCTACTTTGGAGTCGGTCAGCAAGGAACGCATTGCCGTTTGGGAGGAAAAGCAGGAGCGGTTCGTTAGGACTATCGAGGACAATGCTGATGGCAGAAGCGAGACTTTGACGGAATTTCTTCGATATTACGGCGATTCGATCGCCCGCTTCCGCGCTATCGAACGGAAGCACGACGAGGAAGAACTGAGATCTCACTCGGGTCTTCTTCGAGATTGTAGCTTTAGTTCGATCGGCCGCTCCCGCGTCATCGAACTGAAGCACGATGAGGAAGAATTGAGATCTCACTCGAGTCAACACGTGGCGTCCACCTCGAGGGAAATCGGTCTCGAGGACGTTCAAATCGAGAAACGTGGATCGAATTCGTTGTCGTCGTTGAAATTATCGCGCGATGATGGCGCCAAAACCGTAGATCAGATACTACCCGTCGACGACGCAGAGAAGCGAAAAACGTTCAACGAGGCGACAACGAGGAAGAAGAAGAAGAAAGGCTTTGGCAGCCGGCTAAAGAAATTTTTCCGCACCACTTTCGGCCGCCGGAAGAATTGATGCTGAGTTCCGGAAGGAATGCTACCTCGCGATCTAACGGCCGCGATTTCCCTTCGTTTGCTCGTACAGCAGCTTTTTAGTCATGTATTTTTTTTTTAGAGGGAAACACGTCCACGAATACACAGCGAGTAAAAATAACCGATAGCGTAGTTAGTCATCGACCGCGGGTCCCCGCAACTTCAGCGTTCAATATGACTGCGATGGCGACGCGTGAATCAGACTCTATACATTTCTAGATGCTAATCGCTGCAAGCATTGTACACGAACCCGCAAAATTCTGTAAAATATATAACGTCTGATGATCTCACATAATGCGTGTCGCGTTTTTGTGATAGCTTAAGCGATTTAGAGTTTAGAGTTCGATATAGCTGTACAGAGGCTGACTCGCGGCGTCGAAGGTCGAGAGTGTATTTTTGCCTAATGCGTCCATCGAGCGCTGCAGATCTGGTAATCTGACATCGGAATATTAGTGTTAGTCGTCGTCATCGTCATCGACGTCGTAGCCCCATTTATCGCAGCAGGAAGAGGCATTCGTCGACTCTCGCCTCTCGTCGCCTTCTCGAACTGTTTTTGGACCGCGGCGTTGCCATGCCCCGTCGCCGTCTCGGTCCGGTCCGGACCGAAACTCTCCTCTCGCAGATCTGGACCTCAGCATCATTCGAGGGTGTCCTCGTAGCGCCATCTGCAAAAATAAAATGAGTAAATTTGGTAACACCCGGTGCCACTTCTGGTTCAAGCTTCGTTCGGCCAACATCCACTGGTACCAGACAATCGACAATGGTAAGTCTCGATACCCGTCAGCCTCTTTCGCGAGAATCTTTCTGACAGCCTCCTTGTGAATAACACAGAAATTGAACAAATTACAGTTAAATTAATTTTAATCTTGCAATATAAAACTATAAGATATTGAAATGTGAACAGCTAATATAATAAAAAAATTTTCTTTGTATTTCAGGCAGACCTCGGCAGCAAGGATGTCGAAAGTGAGTAAAACAATCTTTAAATATATGAAGTTCTGTTAAATTTTCGACGCGTATAAATCATACGGAAATTAACGAAGATAGATTAATCAAGTTGCATCGCAATTAGTGAAGCTATAAGTGATTTCTACACGTAACTTCGTAGTTTTGAGTCACGCGATTAGAAGAAAGTGAATAAAGTTTCATTAAAATGTAAAATTTCTACAATTAACAAAACTGACAGTAAAGTTTGTGCCAAATCAAATCACCTCATTAATATTAAAATAATATATAACAGATTTTTATTATAAAATTGTAATTCTTAATATTTTTAAAAACAGTTCAGCCAATGAATAATCTTTTCGTTAAATGTAATTGTTTTATTTTGTGATCACCATTAAATTATTTAACAAAATATTTCAAAAATTTTAAAATTGTTGAGTTTTTTTCATTTCATTTATTCTCTTTAATTCTTTAACAAGAAATATTTTCTTCTATAAATTATATCCTTTAACTCGAAGAAAGTTTTATTCCCCTTTTTCAAAATTGTTTTTGGATAATTATTTTTTTTATTGAATCCAATGAATTATAAGACGCAAATTTTTTTCACGGCACTTCCAATTTACATTTGTGTGTTGCGTGCCATTTTTGACGTTACATAACGGGTCGGGTAGGTGGATGTGACCGTTCCGTAGCGCGTCAAAAATAGGTTGGTAGGCTGTTCTTATATGGTTCGGCGGGGGTAATCTGACCCACTACTTCCACCACCGGCTTCTTCAATCAGCGGTGGGGCTTACCGCCTCTCCCAAAATAGAAGAATATTTTTGAAGAAAGGTACGCACGCGGTATACTTCACGCGGTGTGCCTATGGCTGGTATTAACCCAGATTTCGCACCTCGTATATTTAAAAGCGAGATCGAATGCTCGTGGCCGACGATGGCGAGCTATACAGCAAGATTCTGCTTGATCACGAAGTGATCTTCTTAGATTTCGAGAACGTTTGATCATCGATGAAGAATCTGTTGCAGTACAACTGGAAAAAGTAAGCGTAAGTAAGCAAATTTATTTCTTTTGTTAAATAGGGGCGGAATTCGCCTTCTCCATTTACGACGCTGACGGCACCAACGTCATCGATGCGGTTAATCTTGGCGACGTCCTTCGCGCGTTGAACTTGAACCCCACGAATGCGACCATCGAAAAGCTGGGCGGCACGAAGAAGAGGGGCGAGAAGACAATGAAACTGGACGAATTCCTCCCTATCTTCAGCCAGTGCAAAAAGGATAAGGAGCAGGGGTGCTACGAGGACTTCGTCGAGTGTTTAAAGCTGTACGATAAACAGGAAAACGGAATGATGCTCAGCGCGGAATTGTCCCACACACTTCTGTCACTTGGTACAAACTCTTTTCATCTACAATTATTTAAAGCATATAAAAAAATAACAATTAAAAATTTACTTTTCTACTTTTGTTATGTAATTATATAAGATCGGGTGTAACTTAATAAATACCGACCACTAATTACATAGTGTTATTTCTTGTATAAAACTGAGTTGAAAAATCCTGAACCATTTTTTTCTACAGTGCTAAATAAAGCGATCACTACTGTAGTAATTACTGCTTTATTGAACATTGTAGCGAAAAATGGTTCAGGTTTTTTTTCGACTTAATTTTTTTATAAGGAGTAGTGCTATATGATTAATGAGTGCTATTTAAGAACTATTTTTGTCAACAATGCTTAATAAAGAAATAACTACTGTAGTAATGATCGCTTTATTTAGCACTGTACAAAAAAATGGTTCAAAATTTTTCGACTCAGCTTTTTACAAGGATTAACGCTACGCAATTAATGGTCGGTATTTAAGTTTACATAGTGCAATCTTGTAATATACATTTTTTACGTATTTTTTATGGATATTTGTGTGCAACTTTATGTTACGTGAATATCATGCTTTCAAAAAGTTGTATCGAAATGTTTTATTTATATAGAAAACAAGTTAATATGATCTAAATAATCGCATTTGTCGTAGGTGAACGTCTCACTGATACGGAGTGCGACACGGTGTTGAAGGACTGCATGGACCCAGAAGACGAAGACGGTTTTATCCCCTATGCCCGTAAGTGTCGGTTCGTTTTGGATCGGGTACCGTGAATGCGACCCCCTCCCCCCTTCAAAATAGTCGAGGAATGTTAAATCATCTGCATCACATTGACATAGGATACATTAACTTTGAGAAAAAATCCCTATCTATTCTTAAAGGCCCCTAGATCTGTTTTGTTAGAATTAGAAAGTCCCCCTTGTATATAATGTACAGTTGGCAAATCCCTCCTTGATTCGTAATATACGCGGCCCTCCGGTAACTTCTGGCAACGTGAAGAGATCCCTTGGATTCAATTTGTTTCCCACCCCGTCGTTTGACACTTCCACATTTTTGTGTTTCGCAGCCTTTTTGAAGAAGATGATGATACTGTTGTAAGCGGCTGAGGTGTTATCGAGACAATTATCCATCGTGAGTACACCCTGTAGCACAGTTCCACGATTGTCCGCCATTTCTTTATCTATCTATCTGTCTATCTGTCTCTCTGCCTCTGTCTCTCTTTCTCTGTTAACATCGAGTTTATTAACATCGTCTCGTTCGCGTTTTCTCGCCGAGCATATTCCAGAATTTGTAGGACGCAACGCTGCAGCTCAACAGGGATGCTGGAAATCGATAACCCGCTTCTCGCGCAGAAACACGTACGAAGGTTTTGCTCGCGCGCGGAGTCAATGACCTGACGAGATCATCGAGGCAAATTACACGGAATAAAATTAATCGAGACGGTGACAAAAAATTTAAACAGGAAAAATATGTTTATTGAACGAAACTTGTTTTCTAAAACTTGCATTACAGTGCATTTTTAAAATTTTAGTTTTTTAAATTCAATTTTTATTTCATTTAAGTATCACTTATATATCATTTTTGTTGTAGTAATTATATATTTATCCATTTATTTATTGAATTTTAATGTATTGAAATTTAAACGTAATTATGCAAATTACATTTTTCCGTATATACGATACTTCTATTATAAAAAACAATTTTTAACGTTCGAACTGTTGTATTTCTCTGCTACGCGAATTATTAATGCTTCTTTGTATATTTATGTATCTATCGCTTTTACATTTTTGTCGCTTCGGTATTTCAGAAAAATCTACATATAACAGCGCAAATTGAGCACTGACTGCTATTTAAATGGACTAAATCGTTCGGTATTTTCACAGCTTAGCTCATAAACTAATTCTTTATATTTTTGCCTTGAAATATACGTTTCCATGAAAACGTGCTTATTTGTCTATCAATGTTTCGCGGTATTTGACTGCGCGGAAAGATATATTGATCATTCTATTTCGTTCGCAGCGTTCCTTCGTAACCTGTGTGAGAGGGCGGCAGCAACAGACGACAATTAGGCTGATCGCTGTCAATATTCATCCGCCAAGCTCCACATCGACGATGGAACGTTCGCCATATTCACTCGTCACATTCACCACTTTTCTCATCCCTCCGCTCTGGATCATGCGAGAATCCATTGATAATTTACATGTATAAATCGCGACACGATCCTAAAATCAACAAATGTCAAGGCGTTAGCAGCACTTTATTGAATGGAAAGCAAGGGAAAGGGGAAGCATCACGCGAACATCGAGGAAAAGAGAAACAATACTTCACCTCAAATGCACGTAAAACATCATTATTTAATTTGGTTTCATACAAAAGTGTTCAATGTTCAGTGTTAAATTTACGGAATATCTTAATATATAGCAACATTGTACAAAGTCAGATAAAACGGTTGGTATTAATTTACTTCTTACTGTTACTGTAATAAATCGCTCCTCTCGAGACAACGGAGAGGATTAAAAAAAATCTCCCAGTGTTGATATTTTGAAAATATTCTGTTCAATACATACTGTACTTTCTATCGATATTACTTAATTCCCTTGTTAATTCAATACAATTGTAAATTTCAAATAATTGAAATATTATAATTTATTCATATATTGCTTGCATGTCATGAGATCGCAATTCGCATAAGCCGTACAAACGATACAAAATACTTTAATACTTGACGTGACAAAATATGATGTCACAAAGACCATCAGATTAGCATAAATTCTTTATCGCTAGCGTATAAGTCTGGCTATTTTTGCCTGACTGACATTTTCTTGCTCTACTTAAGCAATCGCGTGAGAAACATAGACAACAAGGCATGCCACTGTCGAAATCTATTTAAAAGCTGCGTCAGCTGGATTTCGTCTATTAAACGTAACACGATAATAGTGCGATCATTATCTACTGTAGATTTTAATTATGTGTTATGCAACACTGCCAAAACATATAATTATTTAATTAGTAAAACTTCCCTTTCGGATTATTTGAAATATTTTTATAAGAATCGCGCGTTTCACGTGACTAGATAACTATTTAATTTAAGTACTTGGAAATTTCTTCTCGAATTGTTTTTAGTTGTTTTAAAGGTCTCTCGAATTTAAAGGTCAGAGCTGAAATCGTTAAGGATAACTTTCAGGCAAAATCGCGGTTGGAATTTAGCTTAACGAAATTTGTGTGAAATTGAAAATAATGAAAATGATAAGTCTCATGAAAATGTTCTTGCACAGTACGACTCGCGGATCAGTTTAGATTGAGGCCGGGCAAATCCGCGCCGGCTCGAGCTTCTCAAATCTTCGGCTGATATATCATCGGCACGCGTCTGTCGTGACACATCCAGCATCCGCAGCGAGCGTGAAAGAAAGAAAGAGAGAGAAAGAGAGAGAGAGAAAGAAAGAAAGAGAGAATCGCACTCGATCGATAAATCGCGATTAAGCGCGGATTTCAATCGCGCATGAGATCTCTCGGATCTCTCCTCTCCTCCCGTCGCTCTCATCGTCATCGTACCTGCAGCCTGATGATGGAGCGCGTTTGTTGTGGGTGGACGGACACGACGTGTTCGTTCGTACGCGCTCGGCAGGCTCCGCTTACGGGGACAGTGGCAGGCGTGGGGCCACCGCTTGGTCCCGGCGAGCCGGCGGCGGCGGCGGTCGGAGCCAGTCGGTTCAAACGCGTCGGTTCAAGCGCTGCGCGTCTCTCCTCTCTCTCGCGAGTCTCCCTCGGAGTGGTGCAATCATCAGCCGTTTACTTCGCAACTCGTTTACCTCGCGCGTCCTCGCGGTATAGTATCACCTCGCGTTCCCGTGTGCAAATCGACGGAGGATCTGGTTTACGCCGTTCGGCGCAACGCGCGCGCGCGCGAGACGTTGGAGCGGAGTGCTGCTTTGACGCGGAGTGCGGCCGCCGCGAGGAGAGACATCTCCGGAGAGCGTAGTCCCCGAGACGACCACCGCCTAGAGGATCATCGATAAAGGATGACGGACGTCGTCGGCGGCAGGCTGCAGCAGAGCGAGGCGCAGCGAACAGGTTGGTCCCGTTCGCGGTTCCTCCGCGTCGATGTATATCTTATTTTTGCGATCATTCGACAACCTTGAGATCGACGTCCACCGTGGTCCACGGATGCTGCGCCGATTGAAGCGAGCAGCGCGCGCGCGCGCTTTCCGCCATTTTGACCCGACTGGCGTATAGAGAGCGGATCTGATCTCGCGGAAAAATCGCGCTTTTCCGCGTCTCGCATTGTCCCCGCAACAGCTGATCTTCTCACGCGATCACTAAAATGAGCTGCGTGTCTGCGGAACGGCGTGTTTTTCCGAACCGCGTCGCGCGATATGCCGGGCGCGGTCCATGAGAAACGCGCGCGATCGCTGAATGATAGATGATTCATTTCCACCCTTTTGGGAAGTTTATACGCTCGTTAAAACCGAGACGCGATACGTAACGCTTCATTAAATTTCTTTCCGGTAATTATGTTAGAAGCGAGGGAGAGACTCATTAAAAATGCATCCTTGCGGAGCATCCTCATCCATTGGCCTTCTAGAAATATCGATGAAAACAGCTAATTCTCCTCCATGAAACGTACCATTGTTTCGTTTCAGTAAAATATTCTTCGGAATATAAATTGAATTGAATTTTTTTTTTACAAAATAATCAACACTGTGTAATATGAATCTTTTTCTATATCTGTCTGATTCTCTCACCAATAATTTATTACTTTCATATTTGTTTCCGTATCGTTTATCACATAATCTTCATTTTGCTGCGTCACAGTGCGAATATCGCGCACACAATAATGTTTATATAATCCATAATAATTACACCGCGTTTAGACAATTGCATTACGAGAATAGCTCGTAAATTTATCACATAAATCTTTTCTGTTCGAGTGTTAACACCGCAATGGTCCTCGATTCTTAATGAAACCAGAAGCTTGTGGTTCTACAAGACATTCGTCTTACATAAATTTTTATGTGCATATTAAAAGTGTTAAATAAACGATAAATTCCATTCATCAAATGAAGAAATAATGACATGACCCACTTTCCATTACCCATTTTAATATTATCTATTTTTAATTTTATTGCTCTTTAAATAATGCATGGTAAAAGTCAATCTGCTTATCTCTCGACGGCAACGAATATTTCCATTAAAAATAAATGATAAAAATACATATCACGCGTCGAAAGATGTTTTTTGTAGAAAGCAGTACACAAGCATAATATACAAAAAAAAATTCACTGCAATATCTGCATGTATTAAATGTATTAATACAATAATAATTAATAAATAATGTAATGTTGAGGTTTTGCCATCTGTCGTGAAAAGATAAAATATATTTTTATTAATAAGAGATAAGGGGAAATACGACACAGAGCAGGCTTGCGATACATTTCATTCCACACAGAATTGCATGGCATATGCACAATATCTACTCGTTCAAATATACAGAAAGAACGACACATTGAATACTTTCCCGATTGTGCTTGTATCAATATTGCATCTATTTACGATAGGCATCTATATTTACGATGGGCTGTTGCTTACGAGTCGCACGCGAAACATTATAAAATATTACACCAATCCGTGCGCGCCTGTCAGCGTTTAATTATCGAAGAGCTCCGAATGCACGGTCGCGCATGGGAACCGGCAAGGAGTATCATTACGACGCTTGCATAGATTTATGAGGAAGACTGTACGGTGGCCTCAAGCGTCTGGGGGCATTATACCCGGAGCGATGAGAAAATCCAGCGTGTAACGTAGAACCGTACGTAGCTGGGAAGCTTTTTTAACCGCCACTTTAATCTCAGCCGTGGCTGCTCTCCGCCGCGCGCCGGGCCGCACACTCGTGCGCAATTGGCCTCCTCTGCCGGCGCGGAATCAATCACGATACGGAAATCGTTATGCGCGAACCGTGGGAAAAAAATATTCGTCTTTCGTCTTGTTACCATCGACATTCGTTGCGCGGCGAAGTTCGACAGCAATCTCGCAAGTCTATATTGCCGCACTTGGCACGATTGTGGATATACCTGTAATTCACAACCTCTCGGGAGTTCTCTCTCTCTCTCTCTCTCTTTCTCTACTATCTGAAACGTGGCTTGCATGACATTTGCCATTTCAAGTTACAGGAATAATCAGTGAGAGAATTAAAGCGAGAAAAAAAGTTACTTGTTTCAAAAATTTTCTCCAAGCGCTACGCTCTCGACATTTCAAATCGTCAAATAGTCTGGCGACGCTCGCAATTTACTGTAAATCAGGGGGCGGGGGAGATCGACCTACTGTCAAATAGATCCGCAAGGTCTCGACGAGATGATGAGTAACGATCTCACGCGAGAGCGACCGCGCGAGGCTCTTTCCGTGAGTCGCGGCGCATTTTTACTCGAGAACACCGGTACCGTACTTCGTAACCCATCGACTTATCGCTACGCAAACTTTAGTTACGAGGTCACGATAAGAAAGAATCGAAGACTCGGATCGTCGAACTTCGAGAGGAGTAGCTTCGTGGCAAACGGAGCAGAAAAATCGGCGCACGTGAAGAGGATCGGCCGTCGCCGATTGGGCCAATTAGGAAATTGATGAGCGTCAATGAGCTAACGATGTTTCGTGGGCGTATAATTGCCGGAATTGGCAGAACTCGCCCGTGCGATGGCGTAGCTTTAATCGGAGTGTCGCAGCATTCTCGAATTAGACGACGCTTTTGGGTGGACAGAGGCATCCTCGTTATTCGTCCGCCGCTTCCGGATATGATCGGGCCCAGAGGGGATTTCGTATTTGTTCGTCAATTATCACGCAGTCACTTTACTTCAACATATGATCGTGTAAAGCTAATTTAAAGCGTCATTATTGAGTAACGATAACATTAGAGAGATACAATCGCCATGCAATCTGCGTGACGGACGCTAATCTGATGTTGTGATCAGTTCGTCACATTGTTTATTTGGTTCAAGCTGCAGAGCCTCTGTGCCGCTAGTCATTACACTTGAGATTAATGGCTCGTAACCAGGCGACGCGACGCGAAAACCGCGTCAGTGGAGTTACGTGAATACTTAACGTTACGCGGGTACGAGGCCAAGGTTCCTGCTCGTCACCCACGTCCCGCTTCGGGCCCTAACGCTCGGTCATTACATACTGAAACACGCGTCATACACGCTGTACTTATTCCTAGACCCCAGCTCGTCTATCAACGCCTACGTTTCCTTATGCGAATAGCAAAGCTGTGATTTTTATCCGAGTTTGATCCGCGCCGGTTATATCTTTCCATTCACGTTTCTCCGCGACGTCTGGATTGACTGTCCGTTTCTCCTCTAGCAAGATATCAAAGATAAAAAGTGAAATACGTGTTGCAAAAGGCGCAACGGAATCTCATCATTACTCGATATAGTTCAATTTCATATATGCAAGCTCCGCTGAATAATGCGGTACTCTCGGTAGGCTGACACGAGGTGCATGCGATGAACGTCGGTTGATTTTCGAGCACGCTACCGATAATTATTCGACCTCGTGGTGGAGGCGCGGATGAAAGAGTTGAGCAAACTCGGGGAGAGTGGATTATGCCTATATACTCGTAACGGCGCGCGCGGTATCGACCAAACTCTTCGATGAAACGTCGCAACGACCTGCCGCAAATTGCGAAACACGCCGCCGGCGTGTGGTCGGGGGTTCCATTAGCGGGATCGTCTCCGTTGACAGTCGTTCGCGCCTCGCAGAGGTTCAGCGACCGGTTGGGCGCTAACGCTGTCACGACGGAAAGAGCGCTTTCGAGCGACAGGCACCTATTCAGCATTGGCGATTCTTCCCGCCGCAGAAAGGGAGGAAGGGCCTACTTTCTAACGGAGCCCCATCGGTTAAGCGTCACGTTCCAGAGAACTCGCGGCCTACAAGCGAGCTACTGCGAGTTAATGGTGTCAATATCTGACTTTGGCTACGCTGCACGCGGCGCGCTTAACGCAAGAGTTTTTAAAAACGCCAGCTATTTACGCGCGTCTCATAACGGGAAGCATTCAAAGAAAAGCAGCTAATGTCGTACACCTTTTCTATTCTTTCGTTTAAATTGCAAATTAATGAAAACACCGCGCGACATATGCGTGTTTGGAAAGCGCAAATATAACGTTTACACAATTTGCCAGCTCTCTCGCTACATTCACATCAATGTAATGCAAGAAAGGCTATTTATGAAAGAAACGATTTATTTGCGGTAGAGAAGATTAGAGATCTTATATAAATTTTAATCGTACACTTACTCGTAAATCTATAATGGTTTATAGCAAATAAATTCGCGGATTGCGTGAAATAATTTACCGTTGCGTTACGTCAAGGACTTGCACGCCAGTCGTGTCTGTCTACCTGTATGAACGCGCGAAACCGGCGATAACAGTTCGAACGTATACACACGGCGACGATTACGTCAGCTTTAAAATTATATCGCGCGACATAATCGCCGGAATCGCTCGCGTAGATAAACGAGCATGCAACAAAGTGGCTCTCGTCAACGCACACCGATCTTGTCAATAGGCGCTACAAGGTGGTTCACTTATCTCGATAAAAATTACAGCCTAACTTTCGGCAAGTTAGTGTTTACTTGCGACACTGAGCAAATGTACGCACGTAACATAAATGATATCTCTTGTGTAAAGTAGCCAAGAAAAAAAACGAATAATTATAGATGCAATTAATAGGAGTAATATATAGTTAATTTTATAGTTTAATTAAACAATTGAAAGAGGTGCTACAGATGTCAGTTGGCAAGGAAAGAGTATATTATGAAAACGAAAAATGAAATTAATAAGGATTTCAGATCTAATTGGCAGTGCAGAGTAAACGTAAACAAAAAATTCGACGTTACAAGCATGGATATTATGTAGTAATGCACTTATGTAACAGCATGTAAGTTACATATTTGTGAATATGTAGAATCTTGTAATAATATCGTAACAAGTCATGATGTCATTTAGACTAACTTTGGTTATGGTAATCGATGACGTCATATCTCGTGAACATGTTGTAAGTGGCCGAGAACACTGGGGCATTGTGATTGTTTGGATTTCACGACTTCAACGGGAACATAATGGTTTCATATTTAATATTCATAATGTGGACGACGGCAGAAAATAAGGAAGTTACAAAACAGGCAGCGTGTTTTTACCAGAGGCTGAATGTTTTTGTATCGACAAATGGAAATACCGATTCGTATAAAACATGCATATGCATATGCATTATCAATCAGGTTTCATTAAATATCAAAGTCGATCTCAAGTCTGAGTAACATGATTGACTACTAACTGTAAAACAAGTTGGAAAACTGAACTTTACAGAAATTTTATTTGAAATATTATACTAGTTTATTTGCACATCTATTTTAAAAGCGCGTTAATACATATTAATTAATTTTATTTTTCATTAACTGATTTTATGTTAAATACTGCAATTTCTCATATATATATTTTTTCAAATATAACATGAATAGAATTTATGCACACTCATATCAAATGTATCTCACATGCAACCGTGACAAAATGTAATTTAACAGGTTCTTCGGAATGTTGCCATTTTAGAACGCTATTAAAGAATAATCTTATCTTCGTGATTCGTCACGAACAAACTTTCGTATACAAACTTAGCGTGTGAGCTTCAGGGAGGCAAACTTTTCTTGCATCGAAAGTGCAGTGTGCTGGCGTCAATATGCCCTTCCACAGCGCGTGTCTCGGTGAGGGTAAACCGGGAAAGGGAGCGCGTAGTCATACAAAGGCTTGGGTAAAGGGCGAGGGTAGAAACTCCACGAGGGGTTTGTCGGTGGTAGTAGACGTGGCAATCGATAATAAAACGGCGTGGCGACGCGCAGCATCCGTGCTACTACGGCGGAGTCGGTTTGCGTCGGATGTTTAAAGATTTGTCGGGTTGTAGCTCCCCTTTAGACAACGAAAAGAAAAAGAAGATGCACGACGAATTTTGAATTAATAATTGAAACACGCTTACGCGGAGACGTGTACTGATAAAATGGAACTCCTTAAAAATCACTTACATGCGTAATTGCGTATTTCAACGTTATCGCTGGAGAAAAAAGATGGATAAGATAAAGCGTGAAAAGTAATTTGCGATACTTAAATCTGTTTTTCCATTTCTCGCGGTGTATTCATCTGAGATGCAGAAGGAGAGAGAGAGAGAAAGAAAGAGAGAGAGAGAGAGAGAGAGAGGGGGGAGGGACAAATCCTTGTAATTATTGTGAAGATCCTCTAAAGCGAACGCGAAGAATTGCATTCCGTATCGTGTGACACGTGAAATTACTAATTGTTCTTTGCGATCGCTCAACGATCTGGCATATCGTTCGTAATAATAAATGCGTTTAAATAAGAGACAGTAAGAGCGACAGTGGTCGTCTTTAATTCGCTTGAGAGGATCGGTAGGGACACACCCGTGTGGCATTCGTCATTATTGTACGTCTCGAGATGTCGAGGCGTGACCGATTGCCTGTGTAGGATTGCCATTGCGCGATATCGCCTTACCGATAATTTTACGACGAGCGGCTAATGGACCAGATCGTCGTCTCGATCGCCTAATTGTCCATGCCTTACTGGCGCAACCGGCGGTCGCGGAGCTACCCGCTGCGTTAAAAAACTCTGGGCTCAATTAACGATCGTTGCTATCCTTGATCGAAGTACGTTTTTTTTTGTGCACACACGTAGACGCACGCGTGCACGTTACTTTATATTAGAGGCGTGACGAAATTGTAACGAGCTATTTCCGTTCACGTTCTTTTCTAAACAAAAATTTCCATCTCGCATTTATGAACGTGATATTATGAGTTTAAATAAAAAAAAATAGAGAATTATTTATTTGTAGCCGAACGTACGTTTATATGTTATATTAATTTATTACATTAAATATTTCTTTGCGCACTGATAACAGCGCTTTGATTCCTATATTTATTCTTTGCTATGCTGTTTTATTATATAAGGAATCTTATATTACTTTTTAAGTATTTATTATTTGTTATAATTACAAATTTCATATATAAAAAATAGTGAAAATTCACAATATTAATTCACAATTATGCTATTTACATGTTTAAAAATTACTTATATCAGATCAGAACAATAATTTTGAAGTAGTGGCATGTTAAATGTCAACGTTGAATTGGATTACTTATGTATTTAGACAAGATAACTTTCGTGCAGCAGCAATAGATTCGCTCTGAAGAATCTAAATACGGGTAGAGACTAGAGAGAGAGAGAGAGAGAGAGAGAGAGAAAGAGAAGAGCGCGTGCGTGAGTGCGTGCGTCTGTGCGTGCGTGATTGCATGACTGCGTCTCCATTTAATCCAACACGGCTTTAAACAGGTATCTACCGGTCTACCGGTTCACGCGCCAAGAATAGCAGCGTGTTACCTTTTCGTTATCCACAGACTAATTCTAAACGTGCAATATAGACATGATGTTCTGTTTATTAACTGTACGATCTATCTATTTTATCTGACTACTGCTATTTGTCTGAAATTATTGTTATGTCATTACAAGATGTCTTTCTGATGTTGGAAAAAAGACATGATAAAAAGAAGTTCATTTCTGTAAAAAAATTTAACTTAATTCATTGCCAAGAAAATACAATATTAAGAAACTAAAATGTAAATTAAACATACGCAAATAGCGTATGTTTAAGCATCAACTTAGCAACTGTTGTAAAGCCTTCCAAATAACTGATCATAAATACGTAAAGTAACAAATAATTGAACACAAATAACATTAATATACAATATATTCAATTGCATATTTGCAACAGTTTTAAAATAAAATAAAATATACAGCTAAAAACCTAACATCTTTTAAGTTAGCTATATATAATACCTATACTTATAATGTACTATCGATAAGCTAGATGAAATTTGAAACACGAACAAATATTTCAATGTATGTATACAATTGAAATTTTGAAGACGTAAATAAAAACATGTATGTTTGACGTGTTACTTAAGATTTTTAACATATCTAGCACAGATAATATCTCTTTTACTACAAATTATTATGCAGAAAGGAACGCCTACAATCGAGTTTGTCGGGGGCGATTGTAAAGTTGTCACGCGTGTTGAGAATACAAAAAAAGATCGCGGTCACAATGACTACTATTCTAAATATTTGTGGAAACGATCTAACGTTGCGACATCGTGAATTTCATCAGTTTATTTTTCTAATCGAAAGAAAAAGTTTCTGTTTTACGAAGAAGGGAACCTGGAAAATTATACGGCTTATCGAAAAATGCGTAATATAGCCCAATGTATAAAATGGTATAAATCAGAATATAAAATATGACAATATTGTATAAATCACGTATTATCGCGTAATATCGCGTAATAGTAGAGAGCGCGTCAAGATTGCGCAATATTCGCATGTTTGTTGGTCTGCTGAGGGAAGCCCGGAGTATGCAGATATCAATTTTGCAGTCCGCCTTGGCTTACCATGTAATAAATATCAATGACGGAGCTTTATGACCACACAGCATTCACGGGGATAAAAGACAGGCGAGACTATCGATTCCCATCGATATAGGAGACTGTCCACTGGACACGTTTCAAGAGGGAACCTTGCGGGGCTTCCGCCGGGGTGGATTAATGCTCTTCGAGTGAACACAAGGCTGCTCAGAGCTCTTATACGCGAAAGAAAGAACTATTTTCTTCCAATTATTTTCATCTCTCTTGAAGCAAATTAACACACACTTTTTGTGAAGCTATAAACGAGAAAGATTGTGACTCATGGCAAAAAAAATGTTTCTTAAAGAAGAAGTGAACAATTGTTTGCTTATGAAAGAATAAATATCATTATTAATCAATACGAATAATATAGATATGCCACAAAATTAGATGCTCTAATGCATCAGTTTTTAAATATTTACATATTTTCGTTTTAAGATAAAATAAAATGGTTTAGCAATGCAGAAGAGTTACTTGATGAGCACATTGGTGCTTCAGGTAACAGTAAGGAACAGGTGTCGGATGCGAAAGCTCATGATAAGCGAAAGCTTTACACTCTGTCGGTATCGCGTCGTATATCCATTCTGCTCGACTGGTTAAACATTTGAGCTTTGCTGCAAGCTGAGCTTTTCTACTGAAGAAATTCCCTTACTGATCTAGCCTCGCTCTACCGACCGCACTAATTCAATTGTACCATACGTAGATTTGGTCACTCAATAAAAATCAATAATTCCAGCAAGAGAAAGCATTGCAAAATTAATTCTATAAACTTCCACTGTATAAATATTAATGAACAAAGTTTTCCATACGAGTCATGTAGCATGAAAGTGCAATCAGCGAATGTAAAAATTATTCAAATTTCGCATGTCGGAGCGATTACATTTTCCTGAAATGTAAATTAGCGAATGGAGAGATTGCATAAGCTACAATTTCAATTATTAAATTAATTATTAGTTGGATTTATTATATTTATATATGATATTTGCAATGTTATAATATTTAAAACGACACATCAATGAAATTACATATAAATACACAATAATAGAATTTGTAGCTGGTAAAACAATCATATTTCACATTTCGATAATACGCTGCCACTTCGTATTTGCATTGCGCTTCACCTCACATCTGTTTGAATTCGTGCTGCTATTAATTGCAAACGATCGATTCTGCGTGACAGGCTAGCGCAGGCCAACAGTGGAAATTTCAAACGATCGTTCATCGGTGACGACGCCGACTGTCATGCAACCGAAGGGCTAAATCGTACATCTATGTATATATACGACAAAATCCTCATTTCTTGATCGTGTATCACCGACAGGCACTGATTTATTACAAGTTGCCCTCATAAAAATATTTCGGCATGCATGTCTAAAATATACTTCAATCAAATCGATGTTTATTACACGAAATTAGAATTTTTACCTCAGCCTGGAAAATATTTCTCCGTTGGAAATTAATATTTGTTTTGCATATTAGTAAAATACTAATAATACTAACATTAACGTCTGTGTGTGAGACGATCATTTGTTAGCACCTAATAACAACTGATGTCACTTAGACAGGTCATTATATATATATTGCTCATCATATACGATGCACGTGATGACAGGAAAATTATAAATTGTGTGAATTTCCTGTGTGTCACTGGGTCATCATAACTATATGCGTTACAACAGCTATATATACACGTTGTGGATAAACGATTTCTTCGTAGCATTTTCACTCCTGCCGTGCGCGCACGGCATCGATTTCTTAACCGCGGCATTAGCATTATACTAATTTTTCACGTAGT